CGACGCTGTAGAAACCTTAAATTGGATAAAAGAAGAAAATTCCGAATATGGTAAGAAGGCAGCAGTTCTTCCAATTGGCTTGTCGCAGGCTTTCTATTTGGCTCAGGAGGCTCAGAAAAACTTTTGTGACGAATTGGACACGACAGGTATTGATCGACCTGGGCAACTAGCCAAGCAAAAAGATACTTCAAGCAACCAGGAATCGGAGAAAACCAAAAATATAGTTGAACAGCCTTCGCCAATTGAAGCAGACTTAGAAGAAACAAATGCGGAGACGCTTGAAAGCACTGAAGAGGAGGAGAAGAACATGAATAGCTTCGCTTTCCAGTTTCGACCTTCACTCAAGCAAGTAGAGAGTGCTGTCGCAATCATAAAGGCTCAAATACAAGCAGAAGAGGCTTCTCTTGCTGAAGAAAGTCAGACTACAGAAAATGGAGTGAAAAAGCAGCGATATTGTCCGCTTCATGGATGTCATCATGAAGAAGAGGACGAGGAACTGACGGTAGAGAATTTCAATGGTATTCCAATATTCCAGGCAAAAGGTCTAACACTGTTGCAGAATGGAAGACAGCTCGTTCCTCTATTCTTTTCGAAGGATGACTGCGAAAAGGCGTGGAACCAGCTTGTTGAATCCGATTCGTCCTTACCAAAGGATTGCGATTTGGATGTTGGAACTTTGGAAGATATTTTGCAACGAATAGCTCAAAGTACGTCGCTGGAGTTTGAGTCTATAATATTTGTGGCCCCAAAAGAGTCTTTGAAAGTAATAGGAAAGGAATATCCTCTTGACGAAATTCATGGCATTCCTCGTGAGCAGCAACAAGAGCTTCTCAAACAGCAGCGCATGGAAAGACGACTGCTTAAGAAGCAGCTTAAGGAACGTCCGATACATCCACCTGCTGTTCATTTTCCAACAGCAAGAGAAGTCGCAGCTGCCGGAGGAAGTCCGGAAGCTGTTCGTGAAGCCATTCTTCGAAATATTGAACGAAAGAGGTTGTTGGATTTGCTAAGGTCCTTTCAAACCCTGCAAACCTCTTCCAAGGAGGATAAACAGTCCTCGGATATTCCTCATCGGCAAAATTTATCCGAGACGAATGAAGACCCGACTACTTTACAGTCTTCAACGACAGTTTCTCTTCGAGAACGTGCTCGTGCTGGTAAGTGGAAAAGACGCGGCGTTGCTCCTGAACATAAACATAATGCAACTTCAAACAAGGAAGTCGCAGTACAGTAAGAAGGTAGAAAAGGGGATATGTCTACTGTCATTGAGAAATAGGCAACATAATAAGGGCAAAGGAAAGTATCATAATAAATTTCGGATTTTCACTTGTGGTAAACGAGTCGTCTGCAAGATTCATTCTCTTATGAAGCACTTATATAGAACCAGTAGCTTCGCCAAGATATAAATAATGACAACAAGGCATCCAAAGAAGGACCCAAAACAAAGACTTGCCTAGTTCTTTCTCGAGCCTTAGTAATCTTACTCTCAAGTAGCACATCAAATAGTGGACTTCGAATAAGGTAATACAACAGAGCAATTCGCCTGTTCATAACCTCGGTTGACAATTCTTTCGTCTGTGCATCTTGATTGGAGCGAATATAACTAGATAGCAAATGAGAACTCGCCAACTCACAAACAAGTGCCAAACACCAGGGCTTCCATGAACGCCAGCCGTACTTCCATGCTAACAAGACATGAAGAGCGGGACGAAAAATAGAAAGTGTTTCTCCAATGTAATTCATTAATTGGCGAGCACTTTCTTCATCAGTATGAACACTTAGAAGCCTCGAAGAAGAGGTGGAACTGGATTCCACATTGAGTTCCTTTGAACACAAAGGACATAAATATTGCAAAACCCATCTTTGCTCCATATTACTTCGACTTTCAGAAACAATGTCAAAAATTTCTTCCATACTTTTGCACGATTTCTGTTCTCTTAGACTTGAGAGCCTATATATTCTTCTTCCGCTTCGTTCCCCACAATAGTAGTGCCATCTTTTTAGTCCCAATCGAGGTTGCTTTCTACCACAGATGCACTCACTATAAGTTGCAACTTGTAAGCTCTCAAATAACTTGCTGTAAAAAGATTCTTCTCTTTGCAAGTAGATAGTAAGTCGAATAATTGCTTTTGACAGCTCAACAAGGAATAGAGTTGCACACTTGTTGTCCTGACCTAGCTTCTTGACAGTTATCATCTCAATCAGGACTTCCAGGTTTTGAATGATTCGAAGCGTCAGTGCGAGACGGAATATGCTATCCGAGTGAGAAAAGTAAAGATGAACTGCAAAAATGGACTTACAGAACATTTGGACTTTTTGTAGAGCTTGCTTGCGAGACAGCAACAGGGAAGGCTAAGTTTAGCTCTCCAACGTCCTTGTATAGAGACAAAACGCCGAGAAAGGAACTTATTGCTTCTGCTCTGATATCGCTGTCTTTTCCTGTTTCCAGCAGCGCCAAAGCTTTTAAACCTTCCTCCACTAGCCTAAAGTGCGAGGCATTCTCTTTTAAAAACTGACGAATCACTTTGTCCACTTTTAACAAGTATGCACACATTTATCTTCCAATTGATTATTTTATTAATTTGACAGTTGAACAATGTTTTTACTTTGTTAATAACAGTTAAACAGCATATGTCCATTCTAAAGAAAAGATCAATGTTGTCATACATACATAACGAGAGAGCTAGTCAAGAAGAAATCCCTTTTCAGGTTGGAAAACTTCAATCTGCAACGAACAAAAAACTCTACAGCATCGAAAGAAGTAAAACATACTGCAAAATAAGTGACGATAACTTCCAAGTGTGTTATGCACACAGTTGCTATCAGACATCAGAAGAACTAGGGGAACATTTCTAAAGTTTTATTTTGAACCGTGAACTTTGGCTTTTGTACTAAAGGAACAATTTACAGCACGCCTGCCTATGCGAAACTTGACAACATGATTTTCTGTCTAAAAGTCGTCTTCGTCATCGTCAAAAGCCTTTCTCCTTGAAATCTTCAAATATCTATTAGTTCAGATAGGATTGCTTGTTTGGAATCCATACCGTTACTTTGGTTTTCTTGTCAGTCATTTCGTTAAACTGGCTTAAGAATTGCTTCAGTTGCTCTTCATCAACCTTTCCGATTCTCCCATACTGAGCAGACCGTATGAGACTGTCCTCTAACATTCTAGCCTTTTCTGGCTTCACAAGCTTTATATTTGCAAGCCTCTCGCTAGCTTCCGGTGTGAGGATCTGCTTCAACATCAACCTTCTTTGTTCTTCCAAGGCCCTAAAGAGAAACATTTATAAGAAGAGCTGTATTCGATAGATCCCTTTTCTTACTCTTGCTGCTGCTTTTTTGACTCCTCCGACTCCCCACTGGCTTTCTGAGAGCCAACGTCATACTGTTGACTCATTTTGGAAAACTTCCCAACACCAACCAAAAATGCTCAATTCTTCATTTTCAAATGTTGAACAGTCTTAAGAATTCTACTTTTTCCTTTTTCGTACTTTGTTTTGTATTGGCACTGTAAGAATAAATGAAGTGACAAAGAATCAACAAATCAAAAGAAAGGAATACTTTGAGCTCCAATGTATTGGAAACATAGAACTATTCAATGTAAGAAAAATCCAAGCCATTGAGTAAAATTGTCGTTATATCTACTTCGCTTCTAGAAAATAGCAACTACTACACAAATAGTATTATATCTGCCTCTTAAGGAAATCAAAAGATGAATTCTTTCTGCACAATGTTCTTTCTCACATAAATAGAGTTCTGAGAAGTTTTGTCTCCTCTTCCATTTCTTCTTCCGTCCTTACTCTTCTTTCTTCAGTATCTATTTCCCATTTTCTACTTCCATGTAAATAACTTGAAGATGCTTCCAACATTTCGTATCTATATATTATACAATTTTATGGGGAAAAAATAGTTCCTTGAATACTACTTACACTTGGTCATTACGTTCAAAGTCACCTGCTCTTCGAGGAATAACATGAACATGTACATGTGGAACAGTCTGTCCTGCTGCTTCTCCATCCTAACCGCGATAGTATTGGTTAAAATTGAAATCTGCTTAAAAAATTTAAGAAACCTGAACGCAGTAAGTCATAGCTTGGACATGATAATATTGTTCCAATCTTCCGCCTTTAAAAATAAGTTTCATCAAAATCCACAACTAATAAAAGTGAAGTTACCTATAAGCTGTGCAGAGTGCCATAGATCGTAAACTTCGTTAAGGTCCAGCTCTTTAAATCGTTTGACCACTCTTTTGGGAATAACAAGTACGTGACCAGGTACTATAGGTTTCAAATTGACAATACCGTATGACAGTTTGGAAACGTAAAAGACCTCCTTTCAAGAAATAAAATCATACGTCAGTTGTTGCAGAACCAAACTCACGACAGATTTCTTTAATAGGAACGGTCCAAAGTGAAAATTTCCAGTAAAGGGTTCTCTAGAATATTCCATAGTTGATAGAGTGTTTTGAAACCTTCTAACGCCACTCACAGAAGAGAACAGTTTGTTAAAACGACTCAGGAAACTTGTTGTTACGAAGCTGGAATGCCAATGAATCATTTCAACATTTGATGTTGTAGATGTTTCGTTTGTTACTCAACGATCGTGTATTGCTTGAAAGAAGCAACTATTGGACGCAATCCATTGTTTATGGCAGAAAGCTATTTCATGCTGTTGAAGAACAACCTTCGATAAACTTGGGAAGTATTCGGGATAATCCAGGTGCTAGGAAAAAGGTACAGTCTTCTAGTCGTCTCTTATGGATATATCAACGTCGTTTGTGTGCAGAAAAAAAGAGTAGGACGTGGAAACGGTAGTGGCTGCGGCAATTATTGTGGAAGAGGAATAAAAGGACAAAAGAAACGACAAGGAGGTCACGTAAAGCCTTGGTTTGAAGGTGGTCAAACGCCTCTTTTCAAAAGACTACCACAGCATAAATTTCCAAAGACGTATGTTGTTATTTTATTTTTCAACTGGATCATATTATATCGTTGAGGTTTAGTTGGTATGACAACCACGAGTTGGTATTTTTGTCTGAGGTTCAGCGTCTTGTGGATATTGGCAAGCTGAATCCTTCGCAACCGGTTAACTTTAAAGAACTATTTCGTCACGGTATTATACGAATGCCTTATAGAGGAGTTCGTCTAGTGGCTCGAGTATGTTGTTTCTATTCGTTGGAATATTGAGTGTTTTTATGTTTCTCGTTAGGAGGTCGAATTATTTTCAACGAGTCTCGATTTTGAGGTTACTTCGTGTACCCGTGAAGCAGCTCATTTGATATTAGAAAGTGGAGGTACTCTTTCACTGGCTTATTACACAAGACCAGGAATAGAAGTCTTACTGAATCCTGAACGTTGGACAAGGCGTGATCTTCCTTTACCTCCTTTTGTAAGAGAGATATTCTTTATTTTGGACTTTTATTCACAAAAATTTGCTCTTTAGGAACAACCTCCGCAACGACTTGCTGCGTTTTATAATGACTGGAGTGAAAAGGGAGTTCCAGTCAGAAAAATCAAAACGTTGGATGACTTGGTTGAACCTTCAGAAGCACTTTTAGAGGTTAGAAAATTCAGAACTCTCAAGCAGTTGTTTGAAGAGGAACGGAAGAATAAGCAAATGGAACAGACTACCAATTCGTAAAGAGGAATGATTTGGATTTTTATAGAGATAAAATGCTGTTTAAATGAAAATGGTTTGTTGAAAATGGGGGAGTTTCAGAAAGTGCAACGATGAAGTTGTTCATGTAATGATGAATATGATAAAGATATATGGAACGCCTTTATAGAAAACCTTGGCATATGATTAGAGCAGTTGACACCAAAAATAGTAGAGTGTCATACAATTTTCTTTTGAAAGAGTCTTTAGAACAATTTCCTTTCGCTTTGCTGGTAACAGATTGTCACGACGTGTGGTCGCAAGTTTCTTCAACTGAAGTATTTCGAAAACAAGTTCAGGTTGGTCAATTCTTCTGATAATCTTTTTTTACGGCTCAAAGAATTAGGAGTTTCTTCCAGGGTTTCTTGGTCCAAGTCAACCTGAACAGCCATTGCTTGACTTGATTAGGGAGAAGCTTTTGGCAGCACAAATAAGAACAAGTGATCAAGAGAACAGACTCCAGTTCTTGGCAGATATAAACGATGATATTTTGCTTCTGTCTTTGGATATCGTACTTTCGGAAGTATCCTTTACTTGGACCTTTCGTTGTACGCATCACAAACAAGATTGTCAGTTATTCTTGTCTGAGCTTCTTGTTTATCCGTTGTTGAACACTTTAAAAATACTGAACGAAGAGAAGTATGCTCTAGTAGATATCATTGCTAGAAAAGACAAAGAAATTTCCGAATACAAAAGTTTTTTTGGTACTATTCCCAAAGTATCCGTATCTACGCAACCATTTTCTTTGGAGAATTTTGATCATCATTATACAGTGGAATCGTATATAACTAACTATATAGCGACATCAAACACAAATGATGTTTGGACTTTGCATACATCCCAGTTGTTTGCTTCTGTAATTGCTTTGGATGAAAATCAGAAGCAGAAACTGTCTAAACTGTTGGGTCAAAATGTTGGTGAAACTGTTGACTCTACGGATTCCACTGTGCAAAGCGAACTGAAAATGGAAACCCATAAAGAGCTCAAGGTCTCAAGGGAAAACCTCGAATGCGAAGACAGTCTTATTGATCAAAGCTTTGCTGGTCGTACATCTGATGAGCAGAAGCAACCGACAGAACTACGCACTCGAAGTAAATTGTTGAAAACAATGTCTTCTGAAGAGAGAGTTGGAGAAAATGTGAAGAAAAAGAAGCGCCTTTTCTGAAGCTTTTTTTGATCCAGTAGAATTGGTAAGATTGAATGAAATAGGCTTGTCTTCGTTTGTTGCGCCACTAGTTGACTTTGGTTCCTATGTTATTTTTGCTGTAGCTACCTGAGAGAAAGACATATTTGCTTTTAAAGTTTTTTACTGTTTATTTATTTTGTATAATACCTTGTCGATTTGACACAAACAGCTTTCTCTCGTTGTATTCTATACATTTGTCCTGAGAATCTTTAAAGATGTTCTGAAGAGTTGGATTATTTGTAATTCACTTGTTTGGATTTGGCCCAATCGTCCGCTTTACACTTGTTTGAATTTGAAAATGTCGTCAGATGAAGAAGATGACTTGCCTCCTCCTTTTCACTCTGTGAATATGGAAAACACAAGAAACGAAAAGATAGAAATAATTTTAAGAGACACAAACTGCTGGAGTTACAAAGGTGAATTCCAAAGTCCTATCAAAGAGGGGAAGTTTCACTGTCATTCGTCCTCCTCGTTAAGGGACGAGAATGTTGCTTGTTCCAAACCCAGCTCGGACAATAATAGTCTGTGTTCGTTAGAATCACTTATAGTTTGTCTTAGTAGTAAGGCTCTTCAAAGTCCTTTTGGCTTTAAACTATACGACTGCCTGAAGAAGGAAATGCTATCTCAAGTATATGAAGGTACAGCAATGAAGACATCCTGTATTTATTGGAGTCGAAATATATCCAATCCTCTCGTATGTTATATGCTGGAAGAGAATTGATTAATTTATAGCAATTTTTAGATAGAAGCTCCTGTCCTACATTTATGTTCAGCTGAAGAATTTCTCGAACATTGTGTTTCAGAAGAAAGCTTATTGAACTTTGCACGCATGTTGAAGAACTTGGGCCATGGAGGTCGAAACGAATTGGTTTTGTTTGGACATGCAGAGTTGAAACAAAAGTGTTGCTCGATTCGAAACTCACACAAAGATGTATCGCAGTTGGAGAGAATAAAGGTTTGTTGTCTACTAAAGATATTTACTTTATCTAAACTATCTCCTTAGGAATTTTCGCTACTACTATATGTAAAGGAATTTATTCATTGCATATGGATGAATAACGTCGATCAAGTCGCAGCTTATATTATGCATATAACGAAGGCTGCAGACAGCCTTTTGAGAAAGTGAGGCTCGAGAATTTTTTTTGTGTCTTATCTAGTTCTCAAACGTCAACCCTTTTTTTAGAGGACCTAGAGAAAGAACGAAACTAAGTGAGTTTGGGAACCGCAGGAGATTTGCAGAAGCATCGAAAGCTTCGAAAAATTCTTTAAGAGATATTTACAAACTGATCCTGGAAAGAACTTTGGGACGCCGAAGCAAAGCAGTTGAAACAGTTATTGCTGTATACCCAACATTGTATCATTTGAGAACTGCCATTTCCAAACACAATGAACAGGAATTCGTAAAGGAATTGACTAAAATGTCAGCCTCGACAGCTAAAAGTGGCTCTCGTACCATTTCTACCAAAATGGCATTACAAATTTATCATTGCTTTCTACTAACTTGATTGATTATGCTAAGACTTATTTGCACAAACCTGTGCAGCAAAAATGTCTACCTGAAAGTGCTGAGGTATGACATCAGAAACTTTAGCTCATCAGAGCATCCTTCAAAGATTGGGGCACTCAACCACGTAGCCGTTGCAGTGAACAACTTACAAAAGGCAGTAGATTATTACAGAGAAGCACTCGGCGCCACTGTAAGTGAGCCACAAAAATTACCCGAGCACGGAGTAACAGTTGTATTCGTACGGCTTGGCAATACAAATATCGAACTTTTAGAACCACTGGGAAGCTCTAGTCCTATTTCTAAATTCTTAGAAACCAACAAATCAGGTGGCCTTCATCATATTTGTTTGGAAGTCGAAAACATAAATAGTGCCATGCAACGCGCGAAGAGTTATGGCATACGATGCTTGACTGAAGAACCTAGAATTGGTGCTCACGGCAAACCAGTTGTTTTTTTGCATCCTAAAGATTGTAATGGAGTTTTGACAGAGTTGGAACAAAAGTAATGAGAAAACCTAGAAGGAACCAAATATTTGTCTAAAATACTTTCATATGAATATTTTTTTGACAATCAATGTATATTCTTTTTTATTATTGTATAATTTTCAAGTGGATTGATGTATTCTACTCAGTGTTCCAAAACAGAAGACTCGGATAAACTTTCGGCCACTGTCACATCTGTTATGAATATGCACAGAGTCTCATTGAAAACAGACGAGGAAAACTTAGAAAGTAGTGACTACACTTTGACTAATATTCAAAGTCGTCATCCCCCTGATGGTTCAGAAAATCCGACAGTAAGCGGATCTGATAGTTGGAAGAGAAAGTCAAAGGAAGAAGAGAACGCAAATTATACAACGACACTTTCTTCTAACTTGCTTGCAACTCCAAGTAATGAGGGAAGCAGTTTACTATCTCCTAGAATCCTAACTGAATATATTCCCACACAATCAACAGTATGAGTAGTAGACTTGAAGATTGTTGAATATTGTCTGATGTGTATTTTTAAGCCTTTGATATTTGAAGATATTGGTTTGGACGTCGGGACACTTGAATCTATTTTACAACTTCCTCCTTCGATAGCTTTGCGCTTTGCAACCAAAGCAGAAGAAAGCACTACCAGAAGTGTGAACATTCTGGTGTTTGGAAAAAGAGGAAGTGGAAAGACGACGCTTATTAATTCTCTTCTGGGTCAGGTTGTCGTATTTCATTTGTTGTTGGAAGCTATCTGACCTCTGATATTAGCAATTGGGTCATACGGATGCCTTTCGAGTAGGTACCAACAGCATTGAACAAGTCTTGGATAAGTTGAAAGCTACAGACACAAGCATATGTTTCATTGACACACCTGGAATTGATGTATGAATAGCAAACTATATTGCTTTTTCAGTATCGTTTACTGAGTATTGTCTTATTCTATGGACCATTAGGATAATTCATCAAGTTTTGTTATATTGGATAATATTGTGGATTATATTCGAAATCGTCCCATACACGCTATACTTTATGTTGAAAGGTAGTTTTCAAGGACGAAAGTCTCATTTCTAAACTCAAAAACCATAGGCTTTCAGACTCCAGATTGTCTTCATTTTCCTTGAAAGTAATTGAGACCATTACAAAAAAGTTGGGCTCCAGAGTTTGGAGAAAAGTTAGTAGTTATTTAATATATTTTTCTTGTAGACTAAGTTTGGATAGGTCATCATTGTTTTTACTTTTGGTTATATATTTCCTCCCATTGAATATAGTTTTGAAGAATTTGTGAGAACAAGAGCGACGAGGTATTATTGATATTGATTCACAATGCTTTAAAAAAACATTCTCTTAGTTTAAGGCGCATGATTCGAGATGCAATAGATGATCAAGAACTTCAACTACCTGTTGCTTTATCAGAAACCTCGAAACTTTGTCCCACGAATGATCAAGGTAGTCCTATTGAATATTTCGACTTGTACTTAGCAACTTTAGGACTAAAAATACTTCCTGACGGAATTGCATGGTTTCCCGCTTTGATGGATATACTTTGTCGTCGTATATTATACGGTGTTCCTTTGACATATTCTGCAACTGAACAAGGTATCTCATATCTCCATTTAAGATGTTTTGTCGTTCTCTTAAGATTAATGTAGTTTCTTGGAATCAAACTTTATCAAAGGAGCGATGGTTGATAATCAGTGCAGCAGTATTAGGAGGTATGCTCAATATTTATTCAAGTCACTTCAATTCATTTCTTTGATAAGGTTTTATTTCCAGAACTTTATTTGCCAGTCAGAATAATGTTGATAATTCCAGTCAACAAGGCAAGTCATACCAAGTTAAACGAAAATACAACAACAAAAATCATACGGGGACTGCAATGGACCAAAAAAGTCCTTTTTGGTGGCTATTCAAATCATAGTTTTATTCAGTTGTTTGGTTGTTTCCGCGTTTGAGTTCCTTAATTACGGAAGCAAGAGCGTAGGGGTCAAAACCTTGTTCTAATAGTTCAATGGCTACTTGTAAAGTTTCTCGGTCCAAGCCTGTTTCTAAAAGCTTTGCTATTTCGTAGGACACTAAAAATATGGTTGATTTTTTCACAGTTTAGAAAACAATAACTTACTTTCTAATATTTCGTTCTTCTTTTCTACCGCTTGTTGTTGTTCTAAAGTTTCTTTGGCAAAAGGCATTCCATTCGTGTCCCGATTTGAAATCATTTTTTTTGGCGCAATTGAGAGATGTCGTCTCCTTATGAGAATATTCAATATGTTGAAGAGCTCCTCACAAGTTTTCTGTTCAATAGTGCAACTAGTTCAAAAATAGAATGGAAGGAAATAGAAAGATTACGAGAAGTAGTTGGAATGACTTTTCAAAATTTAAATATTATGGTTGGTTGGCAGTAAAACCATTTCGTTCTTCAGACAGCTCAGTTGAAATAGCTTCTTGACACCGTCCTACTTGAGTTATTTGAGGATGTTTTTCAGAAAATCTGTGATCCGTTGATAAGTCAACTCATAGAAAACTTAGAAAATCCTTCAAGAAGAGGTGAAGTGAGTATCTCATCGTCAGGACAGATTTCTCATATAGAACTTCTGACCAGCTCTCTTTAGTTGCTATTACACGTCAACGAATCTTTTGAACAGCTTGTAGAGTTTCATAAAAGGTCAGTCTGTGAACTTAGACCCGGGTCATTGAGTACATTGACTCTGTAGTTGTAACGAGTTGCTGCTTTGGGTTGGAAGTGTTTTCTCCAACAAAGAAACTGCAGTGCTTGAGAATAGCTTCGACACTTGGTTTTCCTGTGTATGTCTACCTTCTTAGTTTGATCGATTCTTTAGAATTCATTCTCAGTAGAAACTGACAAGCATTGTAACGCCACATTTTGAAGAGTTTCTAAAGACTTTTGCAAAAGCTAGTTTCCATAGGGTTGATTGGAGCCATTCCGAATCGGAGACAGTGAAATATTCATCGCAAGGTAATCCTTTCATTTTTTGATGAATATCTATTTGCCGTTGACTTGTTCTTTAGACTTTTTCACTCTTTGTGATCATTTAGAGTCTTTGGGTTTGTCAGTTTTAGTTTTGCAAGTTTTATACGGGGTCATATTGAATGAACTCGAGGTGAATAATTCAGTCGATTGTCTTACAACTACTAACCATTGTTCTCGCAGTCGTTATTGAAAATTCATGCAGAAAAGAATTTCAACATTCGAGTATTGCCATTTCTTAGTAATTGGTTATATAGTGAAGTTTTAAACTGGCTACGTTGGATTCTTGGAGTCAGAACTGAGGCCAATGTACCAGGCTCCCAGTTGTCTAATCTTTCACCATTGCCTTGCCATCAAAGTCCTTTGTTGCTAGACAGAATGTCGCCAACTTGCAAAAATCAAATCATCGAAGACGGAGACACCAGAAGATCCAAGGACCGATATTTAGCGAAAGAGAAGCTTTATACTCAATGGTATCTACGTCTAGACCATCTTATCGCTCAAGAACTTGCAAGATTAAGAATTAGTGAAATGTTTGATATCGTAGTTGATTATCCAGATAGCTTGCCTGCATTGGAAGATCTCAAAGAATGTTTACAAAAAACAGACCAGAAGCTTGAATTGGCTAAAGCTTTCAAGTCACAACTCAACAATCGCTTGTTACATGCTGGAGCGACCACATCAGACATTCTGGCGACTTATGTACATGCCATTCATTCCCTTCGAATTGTAGACCCCGATGGCAATGTTCTTTCATATATAAGCAAACCAGTGAGGAAATACCTTCAGAATAGATCGGATACAATACGATGTATCATTTATGGAATAACTAACGAATCAGAGGATGAAGCCTTTCGGGATTTGATTTCCATGTCACGAAATATGACAGAAGATGACGAAGAAGCGATAGGTATGGAGGAGTTTTCATGTCGGGTCAATTTGAACAATTGTTTATGTAATTACTTGAAGATTCCAAATGGAATCCACAACCTGCGGATGCTCCTTATGATGAATACGTTTCTGGAATGAATGATGCCTTTGGAATTTTATTAAGTATATATGGGTAGGTCACTTTGATCATTTATCATTTATTACATTGATATTGAATATTTGTTTAGTTCAAAGGAATCCTTCTTAAATGAGTACAGAATGGCATTAGCTGATAGAATCCTTAAAAGCCTTGACCTTCAACTGGACAAAGAGGTATAATACTGAAATAAGGATGTAGTGCTTTACTAAGGTTTTCCATTTCTTCAGACCCGAAATGTCGAACTTCTCAAGCTACGTTTTGGAGAAGGCTCCTTGCACTCTTGTGACATCATGTTGCGGGATCTAAGAGAGTCCAGGCGCCTCCTCACTAGTGCAAAACATGAAAAAATGTCTTGGAAAGACGAGGGTTTCGAAATAGTAATTCGCTCAAAAGTATGCAGCAACTACAGTTGTCGAGTATTGAATAATGAACTGACGTATCATTAGATCGTATGGCCCGAACTTGCAGATGAAAGCTTCGTTCCTCCTCTTGAGATTCGTTACGCTCTGGACTCATTCCAGAAACACTTTGAAGAGATAAAAACGCCTCGAAAACTTTTATGGGATCTGAGTTGTGGAGGTACGATATGTATATGTCAACTCGTGTGCTGACTAAAATAATTTTTGGTGCTTAAATGTTAGCTATGAAACTATCATTGACTACAAATAGTGGCCAAGTGATTAGCGTTCGAGTGAGTCCACTGCAAGGTTGCGTGCTTATGTTATTTGGAAGACGAAGCAAATGGAATATTCGACAAATGTGTGACGAACTTTCTGTTAGCGCGGATTTCCTAAAACGCAAGATACGTCCATTGGTCAATCAAGGTCTTCTGCAGGAAGTAAGTGTAAACTCAACTGTGAACTATTCCTTACTTGGTTAAACTAGTTGGACGGAGAAATCTATGAGTTTATAGAAAGTCAAGAAAGAAACTTCGATCAAGAGGAACTCATCGTGGAGGAAGAAACTGTAGCTGAGGAAGAACGCATTAGTGAACAAACAAGTTCTAGCAATATTTGGATCTACGAAAGATATATATACGGAATCTTGGAAAGTTTTCAGGCGCTACCTTTGGAACGAATCCATAAACTTCTCAAAGTAAGTATCCTGCCAAAGGGCTCCACTTTTCATTATCAAAATACAAACTTAGGTATTTGTCATCAATCCGCGTTATGACAAAACTGAATATGAATTGAATGGACTTTTAACCAATTTGGTCCAACAACAGAAGCTTCAATGCACCAATGGCCTATTTATGGTGAATAAGTCAGGTCCTTAGCCATGACTTCGTCTCTAGTAGAATTACACTGTAAGACTGATCAGTTTTGTTTGGAACTTTTACAAAGTAAGAGTGATTCGTTGTTGAAGCTTTCCGAGAGTTTTCGTCTTCGCATAATTACGTCTTCAGAAAGAACCAAGCTCACTTCAAAACAAAAAACTGAGGTTGTTTACCAACCTCAAGCTGGAGTCGTTTCTGAATTTCTTCACGAAGACTTTTTTCATAGGAAAGATTTCCCCAACGCTGCAAGTTACTTTCAACCACAGAAGTATTTTCGTAGTTTGGAATCTAAGAGTCTAGGTCATCTTTTGGCATATAGTCCTGAAGTTTCTTCTACCCAAGACGTAGCCCGTTCTCTTTTTGAAAGTTTGAATTTGAAAAATGTGGTAGTTGTAGCAGAAAGTCAAACCAAAGGAAGAGGTCGAAGAACCAATCAGTGGCAAACGGAGTTTGGGTCTCTCGCGTTTTCAACAGTTTGTTCATATTCATTGTACTCCACTAGGACTCCATCTTCAGTGAAAGGCACTGTTCAGTTACAACCTTGGCGAAGTGTGTCCTTTATTCAGTATCTTGTTGCTCTTGCAATAGTGGAAGTGGTCAAGGATGGTAAGTGCTAACGTTGTTTGTTTTGTCTTTCTATATTAATGAACCGTCTCTGAAGATGCGACTTGGAAATGCTTACCTTTACGAATCAAGTGGCCAAATGACTTATATTTGGATGACCAAAAAGTCGGTGGAGTTCTTTGTGAGGGAACAGTTTGGAAGGATGAATTAACTTTAATTATTGGAGTTGGTTTGAATGTAAATAATTCCCATCCTACAACATGCCTATCGACGTGGCTTCAACGACTTTTACCTAAGGATACTTCTGCTAAGATAGATAGAGAATGTCTTTTGGCACGATTGATGAGTCATTTTGAGGATATGTATGATCGTTTTCTACAAGATGGCTTTCAACAATTTCTTCCGCGCTTCTTGAGTCATTGGTTACACTCTGGACAACGATTGCAACTTTTCTCCGCTAAACAAGAGAAAATTTTGGGATATGCTTTTGTTGAAAATTTATCAGAAGAAGGAAATATTTTGGTTCGTGACGAGCAAGGGCGCTTGATTCCTTTGGCTCCTGACTTGTCTAGTTTGGATTGGCATCAAGGTCGAGCAATTATTCGAGAAAAGTAAATTGGAATTGCTATTATTTATTACAGTTGCTTTTCAACGTATTCTCTTGCCAAAGTCTTTACTCTTTCAGGATTGCCGCCTATTGTTTTCTCAAATTCTAAATATTTCTTAAACAAAAACTTCATCTTCTTGGAAGATAATGAAAGTGAACATGCACGTTCAAACAAAAGTCTCAATCGTTCCTAATATCACATAATGATAAAAAATAGAAACCTCACTCGCTATTACTTACTTTATCTTCTTCTGTATCAACTTGTTTCCACTCCATATCGAGATAAACATTCCAGATATCGAGACGTTTTGGAAACGAACTAATCATATTCTCAAAAATGGTCCTCGCACGTTCTATGGAACCAAACTTGTATTCAAGAACAGTAAATTTGGTAATAACTTGTATATGATCTTGTTTTGGAAGAGACAACAAGGCTCGTTCCAAAATTTTCCGACCCTCAGAAATATTCTTTTTCTTCTCATAATAAAAAGTGCCCACTTGCATCCAAACCTACGGAATTTCAATATAATATATTCTGTTAGTGATCAAATAAAGCAATCATATCATTTTTGCTTATACCTCGGGAGAATGCTTAAACTGACGGCATGCTCGAAGATATATTTCTTCAGACTTTTCCTTTCGTGTTTTCTGCATACTTTTTGCAAAATTTAAAAGAAGCTAAGGATACAGCAAAATATGAGCAACAACCAAGATAGATATATGGAAATTATTCACCGACCTTTTCTGCATTGGTGCGACTACAAGCTTCCTCCAAGATGGAGGCTAAATGACTTTCATCTCCATACTGTGCTTCCAAGTTAAGATAGGCAATCCATATGTTGAGCTTCTCATCTTGGTTTCTTACAGATATCTTCTCCAGCGCTCTGCGAGCAGTCTCCTTTGCCTTTTGTATCTATTCATTCAGTTGAGTCGTCAATTCTTGGGCAATTTGGTATTTCATTACCTGACCCATGCTTATAAAATAAGCCATGTATCTAATCCATATGCTTGAATCATCAGGTGATGCAAGAACGTGTCGTTCAAAGTCTTCTTCATTTTGTGGTTCTTTCAATGAACGCTCCAATTCGATTTCTTCATCAGAATATCTTTCCAATCTTTCATCATCTTGTTGTTGTTCTGTACTTTCTACTACCATCTTCGCAACATTATTTTTGTTGGCTCTGTTCTGGCTGTCATCATTCTCGAGCAAAATTTCATCTTGTAGTTGAAAGCTCTCAGATACTTGCAATACTTCGCAATCTGATCCATTACCCTCGCTTTCGTCACTACTTTCCACCACATCACGATTAGCATCAACCGACACACTGTCGATATAAGAATGTTGTAATGAAGAGTTCTGGCTAGTGGAATCTATTCCAACAAGTTGTCTCAAGGTTCCTATTCTTCCATTCTCTTTGATAGGGTCCAACGGATGTAAGTTGATTCTTCCCTTTTCTCTATCCACATTGTCCACTTGAACCCATATTACTTCTCCGATTCGATATTGACTCTGCTTCTCTAACGTAGATAAATGACAAAGACCAGTGACTCCCAATCCCAAAGATACAAAGATGCCAAATGGCTGAATATTCTTCACAGTTCCTTGTAGACGCAAGCCTTTTTGAAGAACAGAATATATCGTTTGTCTATCTGACAAATCACTTTCTCTCAATGATAGTTCAACCTGTCCATTTTGAATATCTATCACTTTAGCTGTCACAAGTTGACCTAATGGAAACGTTTCTTCAACATTCTGAACAAAACCATCCGATAAGTTACGAAGCATAACTCTTCCAATGATACTACTTGACAGTTGAACAAAGCAGCCCTTTAATGAATGGTGACGAATGAATCCTCGAACAAGTTGACCTGCTTTCAAGTCCATCAGGTTCTTCCAACGAATATCTTTTGGGGTGCTTTGTGTTGGATGTGCATCAGAATTTCGTAGAGATACTATCGCAATTGGTTTCTCCTTCACAGAACTGCATTCTATAATGATGCCTTTGATCCATTTTCTGGATTTGATATGAGAAATCTTTGCAGTTGCTCGATCAAAATTATCGTCAATATCTGTAAAGGAGAGAACGCCTCGACAAGTGGATAAACTCCACTCTACCCATTTGGGCAACTCTAAACAAAATTCAGCTCCATATAAAACTTGTCCTACATGGGCAACTACAGAATCTCCGACATGAACTGGCTTCACTAATTCACTCAATGCCACTTCCAACAGTTTTCTAGATTGATTCAATCGAATGATAGTACAATGAAGAGGTTGTCCTGTACGTAGCGAACTAAATATTTGTTTGGAAGACAATAATTGCTCATTTTGTGTAAAGCCCCAACGTTTCATCACACCAATCACTTTCGATGAGAAGGAAATTAGCACTTTGTCGGTCATTATTTTGTGTACGAAGCCTGTTAAGCATTGACGACAAGATAAATTAGACCAATCAACCAAGTTCTTTTCCATAGTTACTACATCATTCTTATTTAAAGTCAAGTCCAATATCTGATATTTCTTTGAATGATCCTTTGCTATAATTTTTGCTTCTACTTGTTGTCCTATTTCGAAATGTTCCAAAGGTGATATCAAAGTGTCCTTTCCTGGTTCAGACATGATCTGTGAACAATGAATTCTTCCGTAAACAGAATATCGGGGAATGAATAAATGAAGATGAACAGTAGATATCCGGACGATCCTTCCAATAACATGGTCTCCAACCTGTACGTTCTCAATCATTCTTTTCTTCTCGTCATTTGCATCCATGGCTACTAACATTGTCAATCGTTCAGAACAATAATACACTGTTCCTTCAATTACTGAGTCTACAGAATATATTACGGACAAGTTCGCACGAACTCTTGGGTCCCAAGAAGTGAGATAAACGAGACAATTATTCAACTGAGGAATTCTCATAATTAAGTATTCTTCCTTAATTAACAAAACAATACCTCGTAACCTACTGTTACAAGTTATTGGTGTTAATGATGTTTCCGTTCCTGAAGAAAAAGAATTTGCGTTACAGTCTTCTACAGGACAAACGAGAAAAAAACCAGAGAAACTATCATATTCAAGAACACGAACAGTTGCTTGGCTCGACATTTGTTCCACTTCACTGAGAGATACACCAGTTACTTGTTCTTCCTTTACAACATTGTTGCTCAATGAAAATACATATCCATGTGGACGCTTAGAAACCAACTGAGCTGAAACTATCTCTCCTTGTTTGAATAAACTTTGCCTAGTTACCGTAGCTTCATTGATGACTCTCCACTGTAACAGCATACTCTTCCATTGTTCTACATCATCGAAATAACGAGTTGGATAAAATGAGAACTTTTTGTCCCACTCTTGAGGTGTAAAGTTATTCAATTGCGTCCAGAGACACACCACCTTTCTTTCCCTACTCTCAACATGAAGACGACACCATACTGTCTCATGCTTTCGTGGAGTTCTCAACATTAGTTTTCCATTTAGGCTCCATTCATTCTTATCAATCCACACTTTCCAATTACCAATAAACCCTATCAAGTATTTGTGTAAAGTTTCCTTTTCCACAAAACCTGGCAACATCTGATTGGCTTTCCATTCACTACAAATACGGTCACTCGACAAGGAAGGATAAGTCAAAGCAAACTGAATAAGTGATCTTTTTAAAGATACCAAAGCACGACAATCGTTGGAAGAAATACGTGACCTCAAAATAACAACCTGTTCCAAAGGTAGACTTGAAGAGTTACTTTCAAAATACGAAACAAGAAGAGAATAAATTCTTTCTGACAAATAGGCAAAATCTGATAAATGTTCCTTTGGAAGAAGAGCTCTCTTCCTGGAATCAAGAAGACATACCTAGACAAATAATATTGAGATTATTATAAGAGATAATGTATTCATGAAACTCACTTCTACGATAAGATTTCCATATTCTATACCCACAATTGCACCATAAGTAACGATGGCACTAGAGTCATCATTCATTATGACATCCCTTGAAAGACTCACAATGATTCGATGAGACTCTTCATGTACCGACAGAATCCAAACTTTCAATGTCTTTCCGACGGGATAATTCTCTGATAGCCATTCTAAACTGGGCAACTTTTCCAAACCCATATAAGAGACTGGCAAAAACCTAAAGGACTTTGTTATATGCAGTCCAAAATGAATGGAAGAACACATACCCTTTCACTCCTTGAAAAAACTCTACTTGAAGTCCACGTGAAGAACTCACTTGATAAACGCAACAATAAGCTGCTGAACCGATATTACTTTTAGCATCTTGTATCGAAGCAATAACAGGATATTGATTATCTATAAACTTCTTCTTTGTGGTTATTGTGCATCGATGACTATCTTGAAATATACTCAACACACAACCCTTCACTTTCTACATAGACAATATCATACATAGAAAAAAAAGAAGAGAACAGAATCCTTACCTTTCCAGCAACAAATTTGTTCTTTAACCGAGCACCAACAGTATCTCCAAAATGCATCTGAGGTATCCATGCACGAATCTTATCTTCTACAATACATAAACAACCATTCTCTCGTACACCTTGCAACTGATTTAGCAAAGAAATGAAAAAAAAGATGCCGCCTCACTTACTTTCTATTTTGCATTGTACTGGCATTCCAGGATGAAGTTCATCAAAGCTGACGATGGTCTTTGATAAGATGCTAGGTTTCATACTTACAATAATAGTACCATCCAAAGGTGAAAATGCAACAATTCTACAACAGACTATCGACTGTAAAGAAGGTAATGAAGATAAAGCTGCATCTGCAGAGATATCGGAGTCTGCCAACTGACTATTTGGAGCAAATAAAATTGTATTACTTTCACTGTGTCTCAACAGTATACCTTTGTAAATCAGTGAGTTGTCACATTTCGAAATTTCACCTTTACAACTACCTTTAGGACTTGAAAGATGACCTTCAACGATAACGTTCTTTAGAATATTTCCAAGTTTCCAAGCATTGGGTAGTTTTGCAGGTTCAAGAAATCCGACTAAACTTTCAACAGATGATAAATATATCACTCTTTTTCCAACATCCACAAAGATCACTCTCAAGTCAAGAAAAGATTCCCTTATTGTCTCCATGGAATATACAAAACCTACAAATAGGATTTCAACTACAATATCCTATGAAAGAAGTATACTAACCTGTCATATTCGAAGCTAGTTTGATATGAGTCCAACTTCCCTTCCATTTTTTTTGTAATACTTGTCCTTCCATTCTAAGACCTGGAAATACACAACCAAACGGCCACTTGCTTTGATACGATATCTTCGAATCACACACAAGTTGTCTATTTGTGGAGACTTTGACGACAGTTTCTCTTGTCCACTTTCTTGACATGCGTTATTACACACCNAATCAAGCTTCCTGACTATTTACAGTGTTCAAGTAAATATCATTTCTTCTGAGCTGAATGAAGACAGTAATTACCTTCAAAATTTGAGATTCCGTCTCTTCCAAAGGAAGAAAGCCATCATATTGGATAGATTCCAATCCAAAAGTAACACGATAACCATATTCTTCCCTTTCGTAGATCATTCCATAGACCAAACAACCCTTTTCGGAAGATTAAAACAAGTCTTTTAAATACTTCATTAAGATACCTTTGTCAAAAAACAGGGATCGATATGTCGGTTCACGTTTTTGGGAAGTACGGATACTTGGATTTTACGATGCTCTCTAAAATAATTCGGTAAGCAAGAAAGCTATCATGTGAGTATCATTCTATTATCTTACCCTTGTTTGGTAACGGACAATACAGAAAATGGTAATATCATGCCAGGTTTAACCACAAGGTCGTTATCTTGAATGTGACTCTCTTCCTGTTCCTCTTCAATTTGCCACTCTTTTTTCAATACATTCGGTTCAAGTAACTCTGATAACTCATCACAGACAACCATCATATGATTCCACGAGATAAGATAGATACGACCAGTACGTACATTAACACTTTGAACAGCACCTAACATGGCCGCATTTTCCAATCCAGCACCCTGAGCGTTCGAGATATTTAAAACAAAGGGTTCTTGAAAAGTAACAATATTCTCATCAAACTGACAATATTCAGTATAAGCAACCAACTATCCTTCCAAATACTCACTTCATCGCCAGAGTCATTATCGTCTGTGGAAAAGGGATGGTGTAAACGTCTTTTCTTTCTTCCCTTCAACCACTGGTCAAAGAAAGAATTCGACTGTCTCTTCTGTATGGAACTATGTGTTCTCCCTTTTTTAGTTTCTGCATCTATTTTCTCAAAGCTACTCAAAGTTGGTGTCTTGGGTGACTTTCCTCTTGGCAGTGGCTCCTCCATCTTTCAATAATCGGTCGACCGTAAGAAATGTGCCAAATCTTTTAGATTTTGGAATAAATGCTGTAAAGCAATTTATATTAGAAAAATATTAACAACTTGCTTTTAAATAAATTGTAAGTAATGGAGAGAAATACCAACCAACTGAATAACGTTTGGCTTTGTTGAAAACATCGAATCTCAACATCTTTTCTAATTGGAATTATTGTGGAATGGTATCAACTCCATATGAAAACAAGTTGTACAAAGCTTTGTTATATAGCTTTTGTATATTGGGTGTGCTTACACTCTGTTCATTGGCTTTCTGGAGCCACTGAAGCACACCCTCTTCTTTTCCCCAACGTTTCTAGTAACGCCATAGTTTCTAAAGCGACTTCAAGCAAACTCGTTTCTCTCGATAAAAGTTGTCCGTTTTTATTCTTGGAGCTTTTAGATGGTTCAGTTGAATTGCTTCAAGTGGTTCAAGGGATTTCCTTATGGTCTATAAAGTCGGAAAAGATTTTTTTACCAAACAAAGAAGAACAACCGAATATTTTGGACCGTTGCATTCTAGGTTGGTTTTTATTCAGTATTTGCTCAAGAAAGATTTCAAATATTCCGGTGTAGGTCCTGATTATCGTCTTTATATTTTAAAAGAAGACGGCTTAGTGCCCTATTTTTTAGGAAACAGCGAGTCACTATTAACTTTATATCGGGTAGACACTAGTGCCTTGTTCATTGAATTAGATACAGGAAAGATTTTGAAGGAAATAGAATTTTATTCTGAAGAAGAACGTTTCCCTATTCCTTGTATGGAAGGAAATGAAGACTCATGTGATTACCTGTTCAAACAATATCAAGTGAAAAATATTGGCATCGTCTTTCGGAAGTTTGTAGGCCTTCGTATGTATGACGCCAATTCAGGGAAGAGTTACTTTGCCAACTTTAGTCGTTTTGAGCCTTCCAATTTTGTGTTTACTTATGAAGTTGATGGAAAGGTTTCTAGTACCCTTGAGAATAACATTTGGTATGGAAAGCTTTTGATAGAAACCCAACAAGTGAGTTTAAAAGATGATGGAGATCATCTGCTGTGGTCAAGAAGCTTTGAGCTTCCTGTCATAAACATCATTGCCCTGGGCGATATGTTTAAAAAGGAGAGAAAAGCAACCCACAATGATTGGATTTCATTTTCTTCTTTTAAGATGATTTCAGATGTTCCTAATACAGATTGGCAGTCGGAAACTACAGAGGAGCCCATTGTTGAAATGCATTCATTAGTTTCTTATCCAAAAACGAGATATTATGTAGCATTCCTAAGACAATATGACTACAAGTTGATTGTTTCAATATTCTTTGTACTTTGCATGATTGTTTTGTACTATCGAAAAGCGTTGTTGGGTCATCGCAATGTGGCTACTCTTTTTCTTTCGAAAAGAAACAAAAGTAGCAAGAAATGGTTTCAATGGAAAATTTTGGAAAAGCAAGTTTTCAGACGAGGAACCAACAATTCTTTATCAGCTGAGAGTGGTGAACATATTCAGAATGATGACAAACCTGGCACAGAAGAGTATAAAATTGGAAAGCTGATTCTCACTCACCGTATTTTGGGACTTGGTTCTCATGGAACAGTTGTTTTTGAAGGACGTCTGGATGGAGATGGAAGGAAAGTTGCTATTAAACGAATGTTGAAAACTTTTTATGAGTTGGCTAGAAAAGAAATTGAAATGTTGATTAAGTTGGATGAACTTAGTCCTTATGTCATTCATTATTACGCGATGGAGGAAGATAGTTTATTTGTGTATCTTGCTTTGGAGTTGTGTGATAGAACTCTTGAAGAACAAGTAAGAGTTTGGAAAGAGTCCATACAAGTTTCTTCCAGTTGCTATATTCCCATCTTGCGACAAATCATATGTGGTTTAATGGACTTGCATCGATGTGGAGTTGTCCATCGAGACCTGAAACCTCCCAATATTTTGGTTATGGAACCTAAGGAGTATTCAGTAAACAACAGACTACCCATTGAACATTATCGAATCAAAATAGCAGATGTTGGTTTGGCAAAGAGGATGAGTACTGAGACAACCTTGGCTTATATGACGAATGGAAACAGTACGAGTAACAAAGCGGAAGGAAGTTATGGTTGGAGAGCAGCGGAAGTTTTGAATAAAGAAAAACAAAATACTTCGTTGGATATATTTGCAGCAGGTTGTATTTTGTATTTCGTATTAACGGGAGGTAAACATCCATTCGGAAACTCAGTTTATGAAAGAGAGTCCAAAATATGTAAAGGTTAGACAGCCATAATATTATTATGTATGTACTTTTCATAGAACAACTTTTAGGTGACTATAACCTTGCAGAATTGGAAAATCTTCAATTGTGGGATGCTAAAGACTTGATTGAGAAAATGATTGGACTGGATCCATCCTCAAGACTCTCTGCTAAGCAAATTCTCAAGCATCCCTTTTTTTGGAGTGATACTAAGAAACTTTCGTTTCTTTCTGACGTTTCTGATCGACTTTCATTCTTTAAAAATGGAAATGGATCCCGAGAGAACAAAGACTTGATAGTCTCGTTTGAGAAGTATTGTCGTATTGTGTTGGCTACCACTGAAACTAAGAGAATATCTTGGGCAACAAAGATTGATATGATTGTGCTGAAGGCACCCAATAGTCGTAATTATGATACTACTAGTGTCTCCGATCTATTGCGTCTAATAAGAAATAAGCGCTCCCATTATAATGAGTTACCATCATCGGTTCAACGTGTATTGGGCCTATTGCCTTGTTATGATCGTGAAGAAAACTTTAACCATAACTTTTGGCAATACTTTAACAGTCGTTTTCCAAAACTCTTGATAACTGTTTACACCTTTGTTATACAAAGATCAGAATTTCTGCAAGACAAACATTTCCAAGGGTACGGAATGAGTCAAAGAGAATGGATTAGAAATGATGAAGAGGAAGATAAACCAGACAAGTCGACAATACGATATCAAAGTGAGTCGACTAAAATGAGAATAACTGATAAGAAAGAACGAAAACAATATTCCATCGAGATGTTACAACAACTGAAGCAGGGCAATTGGCTACCTCGCAATTATTCATCGTGAAAAACTTCATCAGCAATATTGTAGTCTTCTTAAAGTCAAAAAAGCCTTTAGCAATCCGCATTCATCACTGCAGTATTTGCTATTGTCTCGTGCAAAACATGAGCAGCCTTCCATTTGACAGAAGCGGTCAATAAATGGCTCTTCAATAGCCATGTCTTTCATCTTATTCACTTGTGGTGGCTCTATTGAGACTTGCGTATTTGCAACAGTCTCGTCTTGAATATCCAGTGAAGGATCGACAGGGGCTTCTTCGAAAGTATTTGCTACATTTTCATTTATCTGTGATTCCTCTTCGGTTGACGCTTCACCATCTGTAATAGAAAGACGTTCCAAGTCAAGCAATACAGGGTGGTCTTCAGAAAGTATTTCCTTCAAAAGTTTACAAGCAACGGCAGCGTCTTGAGCAATTTCTTGATCGTTCAAAGGCCCCCCTTCTGCTTGCCAGGGGGATTGGAGTTCTAGAGCTTGTTGTACTGTGTTTGGCGTGTCGTATTGTTCACATACGAAATTTAAATGAAGAACCAAGTATTTAAATCTTAGTAAACGGTAGAAAAATGTCTCGTATTCTTTGTCTGGTGACAACATAAGATAATAGTAGTCTTCGTGCTTGGGTCCTTCACCTATGGCCCAAAGCAAACCTGAAAAGTCCAAGGAAAAGTCGACAATACACAAAGTTTGAAACTGTATACCCTGAGAGAGTGCTTCAGTTTGTTGTGGAGGAACAAGTATTCCTTTTAGGGTCAATTTTGTAGAAGGCTGTGACAAACTACCTTTCCAAGTTCTGTCTAGTTGAAGTAAATGACTCAAACGACCACTACTGTCCACAATTTTCACTTGATGCAAGTAAAAACAACTCGTTCCATCTATATCATTCTTATATTTTGTAGGTATGGAACGTTCATCACAGACTTGACGTCTTTTTCTTTTCGAATTCATCGAGAATAGCTTTTCTGTCTTTGTGGTATTTCCCAAAAGCCAATTATGATGGCAATCACAACCAGCCTATTTGTATCTTCTTTCACTCGTCATGATAACAGCACGAGTTTCAAAAGGAACCAACTTCGACTTTCATTAAAAATATATGGACAAGTGAACAAAAAAGGTGGCTCCAAGAGGCGGGTTATCTTTGTGGAGGATACAAACAAATTGCTTGCAGACAAGTCAATAGCAAGGAAGTGTAGCCACTGTAGACAAGTGGGTCACAACTCGAGAACTTGTCAAGACGCGTTTGTAACAACCGTGTTTTGGACAACGAGTATAGACAGTCAGAGTACAAGAGATCGAAGCAGTTTTGGTAATGTTGTTTGCCAAAGATGTAACAATGCAGGAGTCATCAACTGTGTTTTTTGTGAACAGAACGTGGACAGTATTGTTTCACGTAACGAGTCCAAAAACTTGGAGATAATTGAGACTGAAAAATCCTCAAGATTGGACTCTTTCAAGGAAAAACAACTGAAAACTAGTGCTTATTTGGCGAACATCGGAAGATTATCCAGAATGACTTACAAGTTGGATGGCAAAACAAAAGTCGAAGTTTGTGTAAAGTGTAGTGGAACGACATTGATGGTTTGTCCTCGTTGTCGTGGGGAACCAATGAGCGCATAGCAGAAATGTTTTCTACACAACAACAGGACGAAGAAGAACAGAGTTTGCAACAAGAAGAAGTTGCTCAAAACATCTATGGTTTAGGGTCGTTTGAGAGTACAGATAGTTCGTCTTTTGAACGAGAACCCAATAAAAAGCCTTCCACGCTATTGGGCAAGTTTGCAAGAAGTGTTCAAGACTCGTGGAAACAGTTTTCTCAAGGTTTTGTGGAAGTTTCGCATAAAACAGCGCTCAAGTATCCAAGTCTATTATTTTTTGGAGACTCTTTAACTGAGTACTCACAACACGTCTCTTCTTCAGAAGGGATAGGTTGGGGAGCTTTGTTGACCAACGAGTATTCAACCAAAGCAGAAGTGATCATACGTGGTTTTGCTGGTTATAATACTCGCTGGGCACTTTATATGCTTCCAAAGGTCTTGCAAGCTATAGATCTTTCTTGTTTGAAACTGGTGGTTATTTTTCTAGGAGCAAACGATTGTGTGTTGCCTGATAGCCCTCAACACGTTAGTATTGAAGAATATGCAAGCAACCTATTTAAAATGATCAAAGTCGTTCGGAACAAACAATCACAAGTTGCACGAGCAGAGTTACTTTTAGTGACACCACCCCCTTTCGTTGAAGAATTATGGGAAGAAGACTGCAGACAAAAGAATAAACCAGTGCTTCGGAAGGCTTCGAGAGTCAAAGACTATGCAGAAGCTTGTAAACGTGTGGCTGTAGAAGCTCAAGTGCCTTGTTTAGATCTTTGGACAAGTATTCAGCAACAAATTCAGTGGCAAACTTTCTTTACCGACGGTCTCCATTTCTCTGAAAAGGGAAACGAATACGTATTTGAACAGCTAAAAACGGTCATTTCAGACAACTTTCCGAATCTAACTGCTGAAAGAATGACTGCAGTGTTTCCACATTGGTCAGAAATCGATCCTCTAAACTTTAGCAGCACATTTGACAAATTCTTCACCACATCATAGTATTTTATCCTCACAACTTGCTGAAAAAGGAAATTATTCAAGAGTCTGAGTCAATCTAATCCAACGTTCTAGTAGCTCCAAGGAAGATCCACTGAACAGAAACTAGGTAAATGATATTCTTTTTCATAATATAAATTCATCTTTACCTCATGAGAGTTCTCGCAGCCAGAGTGATCGCTTCGCCGAAACTTTCAGACATACCAGAAACAACGAGTGCAGCGCCAGCATTCAGAATAATAGAGTTACTGATAGCACTTGGCTTTCCACGCAAACATTCCCTTAAAATATGCGCATTGAAATTTGCATCAGCTCCTTTAAGGTCTTCTAGTTGGCAGGTAGGAAAGCCATATTGCGCAGGATTGATAGCATATCGATGAATATCGTCGGGAGTAACCTCGAGTACAGTAGCACTTCCAAGAGGAGACAGTTCATCCAAACCTGAACAATGTAAAACCCAACTTCGTTCCGTTCCTAATAACTGTAATGCTATGGCCAACTTTTCCATCAATTCTTCATGTGAAACCCCAATGACCTTTGAAATACCATTCACAATAAGATGCTTTGCACTTGGTTCTAATCAAGTTCTTACTTGTCGGGAAACAAGAGCTGGGTTGGTGAGTGGTCCAAGTAAATTGAAAGCTGTTCGAATACGTAAACCCTTTCGAATATTGGCCACAAGCTTCATGGAAGGATGATATCTAGGAGCGTATAGAAACGCAATTCCAACTTCTTCCAAACATCTTGCGATGGCTTTGGGAGATAAAGACACCCTAAAACATCGATAATGTCGAATGCCTAAAAATTCTTATTTTCTGTAACATACTTAACTCCTAACGACTCCAAGACATCTGCTGATCCGCACTTCGAACTAGAAGAATGACTTCCATGCTTTGCAACTTTGGCTCCACAAGCTGCTGCAAGAATAGCAGCTCCGGTTGAAATATTTACTGTATCTGCACCATCACCCCCTTTGTACTCATGAACACGATAAAACAGCAAGTCATATCTTGATATTCACCTGTTCCAACGATATCAACCAAATATGGGATACTTGAAGGCAATGGAACCGATAGACTTTGTTGTCGCATTGCAAGTGCCATCCCAGCCAGTTCTTCGGCAGTTTCTCCCTGAACAAACAATAAACCCTCAATAATGAGTTTCCAAGTTCATTATTTTAGGCGTACCTTTGATCGTAGTAGCGAAAGAAATGCTGCAACTTGATATGGGTTTGCGTCACTTTGACCAAGAAACTTCGCAACAGACTCTCTCGACTAAGATCGTTGGCATAAGCTTTAGATTACTTGGACGGAAAGCTATCCAACCTCTTCTAAAGAAAGATTTCTACGCATCACCAGCTTTTCGAGAATCGGCTTCAAATCTGTCTCCATTTTTTCCTCTTTCTTCAAGTTATCAGAAAAAAATCCATACATAGATGTGCGCAACGTGTCAAAGAATCTGTTGGGTCCTGTTGCTGAAGGGTCCGTCAACTTGCACCGACTGTGTTACAACTCAAAGTGCTTGGTAGAATTCTAAGATACACTTACCATCTGTCGGAACGACTGCATAGTGGAAAGGAGCCTCCATATGACTACTGCGACAAGTGCAAAGGTTAAAACTTGCCAAAGCGAAACGTGACCAGAAACGAGGAGCTTTTGGATATCAACCGGAAAGCTTGACTCACGCTTCGAAAACAACGTGTTGTCTAATGCTTTCCTTTCAAAAATTTGTATGCGTCTATTTGCGGCAACTTGTTGACAAAATATATTTGAGCCAACGTGATGATATGAGGTCGGAATAGAGCGGTTTTTTCCATACGAATGCCAACATATTCTTCCAACGAAACGAACATGAAAACTTAAAGGAGGCAAATATTTGTGAGACTGTTTATTAACGGACCCGCTCTGAAAAGACTTGATAGCAAAATAAGTCTTCACGCACGCAAATGAAATTTTCATTGAGTTGGCGCCATTTCCAATCAAGTTGTTTTCAAAAGTTGCAGATTAAGCAGACAATTATGGTGCCCGCTACTGACGACTTGAAACAAGCCGAAGAAGAGAAAGTGCCAACAGAAACTCCATCAAAAGCTATATTTGTCTTGCAATGTGCTCATTGTAAAACTTTATTGGGAGATACCTGCTCACTTATTTCTGCTCAAGTTGAACTCAGTGCAATTGTCCTTACTAGTAAGTAAAGGAAATGTACGAAAATGGCCCAAGTCACCCAAAAACTTGTTCATTAGAAGCAGTAAATATTGAAGTAGAAGACTCCAATTTTGAAATCTCGAACACAGGTGTCGACAGTGGTAGTGCGTTTCATCTTATCAAGTGTTCAGGATGTCAAAGCGTGGTTGGCCGTTGTTACAAGGCTACTCCTCGATCCTTGGATCACATAAGAGATATGTTCACATTGTTCGAGAATAATTTACTGAGGTAGGTTGTTCTCCGTAGTCCTCTCTCATTCTGGTTTAACTTCACGTATCGATTCCCAGCTATCCCTTATCTTGTTCTATGGACAATTCTAGAACTGAACCGTCAAGAAAAGAAGATAATCAAAGCGAAAATCTGTATCAAGTTGAAAGTGACATAAGGACCGTATGTTCAGTCATTTGTAAACCTGTAAATACAACTTAATTGACTGGTCTTTAGATACAACAAATGCTGGTGATTCTCGGAGATCGTATCCTGCGACTGGAATCCAAGTTTTCTAAAATGTATAATTGTTAGTGTTGTTAAATGAAAGTGCAGACGCAAGAATGTTTCTAGTATTATATCCATCTCAATATTTCTTGTTTGGAAGGTCTAAGCACCTTCTGAACTCACTTTGCACCTTTCGAAAAGATAGTCGATCCAGATTAACAAGTTATTATCGTATGCAACTCGAGTACAAGACGTCACCAAAACTCTCCACCTCCGTCATTTCATATTGTTTAAAAACGAACTGTTTTCGAGTTGGAATAACTTTCCTATTCGCTATGACAGTGACTTTCACACTACCGTTGGATTGTTCTTTCAACAACTTGTGGACTTGCCATGCTGAAGGAATAGAACGTGACCTGGGTAAAGTTGGTGGTGGTGCTGCAAGTTCTGGAAAAACCTCAACAGGGGTTTCTCGGACGGTTACAAGAGGAGTTAACCTGAGTGGAGCAGATTTCTCGGAACAAGATTTGAGTGGTGTTAGTTTCCAACAAAGTCTGTTGCGAGAAACCGATTTTCACGGGGCGAAACTTGTTTCAGCATCTTTCTTTGGAGCAGAGTTATCTTATGCAAATCTGGAAGATGCAGATCTCACTGAAGCCAACTTGGAGTTGGCAAACCTCCGCAGTGCCAAACTTAAGAACGCTGTTTTAAGACGAGCTTACTTTTCGGGCAACACTCGTTTGGAGAACGTTGATATTGATGGTGCTGACTTTTCTGAAGTTATCCTTAGAAAGGACCAAAAGAAATATCTCTGTAACATTGCCAACGGGACAAATAGTCATACTGGTGTTGAGACAAAAACCAGTTTGGGTTGCAACAGCTCATAAGACATTTTGATGGTATATTAGTGTTTTATAAAACTTTAATTGGATCCGAAACCCGTCCAATCTTTGTGATATGAAGAAACATGAAATGCCAGAATCGGTTCACTGCGGCTTTTTGAGTTGTTCCTTTTCTTTTCATTCTTCAGTAACACGGCGTTCTGCTTGTTCGTCTTTCAGCACTGTTGCCAACGGTTTTGTAAATCAACAGTTTCGTAAGATACGTCCTGCAAAGGTTCATTCGAAATCTTTTGTTCATCACTTGGCAATGTCCATAACCAGTACCAAGACACGTTATATCGAGTCCGATTTTTCTGTTTTCCGAATATCTCAGGATGTTAAAGAAGTAGAAGCTTCCTTTGGTGACTATTTTGTGGAAATAGCGTCCAAGGCAATAGAGAAACAAGGTAGTTTTACACTGGCCATTTCAGGTGGCTCCGTGTTGCAATGTTTTTCCAACGCGATCCTGGAAACAGCTGTTCGAAGAGAACGTGTTGACTGGGAAAGGACTCTTATATTTCTGGTTGATGAACGATACGTTCCCTGGGACGATCCTCAAAGCAACTATGGACAACTCCACAAAGTCTTACAAGCAAGCGGTGTCGAACACAAAGTAAAAGTAATTATTGGGACTGTTTTGTTGAAACTTGTTGGCTGAGGAATATTATAGGTATTTCCTGTAAACACCTCCTTGTCCTTGGAAGAGGCTGCGTCTAGTTATGAGCAAGATATATTGTCTTGTCAGAATGAAAGAGACTTTATTAAAGTTCTACATCAACCTGTGAAATATCAGTTGGAAAAAGTTCCGGCTTTTGGTAAGTATTGTGACTGAATTCGACAACTTTTGTTATTACTTTGTGATAGATCTAATACTGCTTGGGTTGGGAGAGGATGGTCATACCGCATCGTTGTTTCCCAATAAGGAATTGGTAAGAACGGATATACTTTATATATATTATATGGAAATGTTTATGTTGAATGGGTTTACCTAAGCTTGATGAAACCAAGAAACTTGTGGGATATGAAACAAGTTCTCCAAAGCCTCCTTTAGAACGTATTACGCTAACACTCCCAACAATCAACCATGCAAAAAACGTTGCGTTTATTGTAGTTGGCAAAGGAAAGGCTCAAATAATGCAGCGACTCTGTGAAGATCACTCCTTGCAATATCCGGCTCGCCTGGTTGTTCCGATATTTACTCGCAAAGAATGGTATGAAGTTGTTTTCTTCTACAGTTTGGTTTCGATGATTCACAATTGCTGTTGATAGGTTTGTTGACGAAGACGCCATGTCACAAGTCGTTGCAGCTCAAGAAGCTCCGAGAGAAATGCTATAATACTTACAGTGCTCGTGTACCCTCCTCCCTTTGACTCTCAGGTTTTTAACTTCCAACTAGTTGACCTAACGTGGAGATCGAAAAGGCTTTGTCACCAAGGTATCCTGCAACACGTAATCACAAACTTCCAGTAGAGTCAAAGTTATTGACCACCTTTGGTTTGTTTCACAACTTGTTATCCAATAAAAGAAATCACTTTTGTAAAGATTCCTTGTCGCTTTCGTTCGTTTTATTCAATCCAGGAATACCAGAAAGAGAACGGATACCCATAACGCTTGACAATTGCGGGCCTTTTGACAATCCTGGAAGAATCTTATGCTGTTCTTCGGTGGTGATATTACTATTCAGCACTCCTTTCTCAGGAGCTGAAGACAAGTTTGTTGAAATATTTTTAGTAAACATAGCAAAGGAACCTTGCTTTTCTTTTTCTGGTTCAGAAACTATGACTTCCTTAAATGGTTCTGCAGATAATTGAATGTGAGGCGAAAGACTATTGTTCTCTTCGTCCATAGATCTCAAGTGTGAGCCTTGAGGCAGGTGTTCACTTTGACCTACTTTTACTTGCTCGGATAGTGGCATTGGTGGTTCTTCCAAAGGTGTTTTACGGGTGACTATAACTCCTATCCAATAATAAAAATATTAGTCTTCAACCAAGATATCTTTCAAGAAACCAATTGACATACCTAGTACGCGTTCCATTCCATATTCATGAACACGACAAGTTATCTATTAGAAAGTTATGGTCAGCACAAACTTCATTCTTCCATCATAACTAGTCAACTTACCTTCCCAGGTGGTAATATGTAAGCCTCTGATTGGCCAGTTTGGAACAATACGCCAGCACGCTTTCTTCTAGAAAGAAAGTCTATCAACTCTTTAAAGCCGCCTTCATCTCTTGAATCTTTCTATATGAAAAACAGATTGAGAACACATATTCTCCTTTGACGAAAAGAGATACTTACTGGTTTAAAATATACTACACTAAACTCCCTAGAAGTTGAGTATTCCAGTCCTTTCACAAACTCTATAGTCGAAGTGAGTTCAGTCCTACCAATCACATTCATTTGTCCCGGAAGAACCGCATAGTTGCTTGCTCCAACCAAATAAAACGCCATAGCACTGAATGATATCGTTTTATCGAAAGTAATCTTGCCTTGCCAAACTGCAGTTCTCCTTTTGGAACGAATTGCATCCGTTGTTGAGCCTCTCAAAATGCTTCTATTCCGTTTATTCGATTCAGGCTCGCCCATTGATGAAGCAAACTGTTGAAACTTGTCATCTAAACTATTGGACATGGAAAATTCTAAGCTGCTGAGAGTCAGGCTTGATGATTTTTGTGCTTCCACATTGTTCTTCTGTTGAGTGGTTTCATTCACATGAAGACATGATTGAATACTATCCATTTCATGTATTATTTCCTTATTTACAGGTAAAGAACCTTGAACTCCTGAGTCTTCTATCCCTGCTTCTACATCTTCTCTACATGCTTCTTGCAACGAGTTATCCGTTGGAAATATTTGCCCATTCTCGTACGCGTCTTCCGATCTTTGTGGCAAAACCTCAGTCGAATTCATACCTTTCATAATACCAACATCTGTGGGGTCCCGAATGACAGCTCTTGCAAAGGATTCCTGTTCTCTTCTCTTCCGCTCTTCTCTCATTGACTTGGAAGCCAGTTCGTCTGCAGTCATTTCAGCAAGTCTTGTTGGTGAAATGTCGGACATAACTATTGCTCTCTTCAAATCCAAGTTACGTTTACCACGCAAGTTGAAAGTTAAGCTACGCAGCTGCTCTAAATAGTCTGCTTTGAAATATTTTTCAAAAAGAGCATTCTCTATATCTATTGCAATCTTTGATATATTAGTTTTATCTATATCCACACCTGTGTCTTCTAAGTTCTCGAGCAAAATTTGGTTCAAGACGTTCTTTGCCTTTTCCCTTATGTTTTCTGCTACTCTCTCTTGCATAAAAGAATCTTTTCTAGGACTTGTGCCAACTTTTGTTGTTTTTATGTTAGCTTGTTCTTTGGTCTCTTTATTCCTTTCGTTGAAAACTTTCTCTTGGGAACGACGAGACCCTGTTTCATTAGAAGAAGTGCTTGGAGAAGAAGGCCTTAAACTATCTTCATTTGCAAGCTGTTCGCTGCTATTGGCGACGTTGTCTTGTGGGGGGTTCAAACAATAGCTAATTGTTTCTTCCCCTTCTTGGTCATAAAGAACCCCTTCATGCCACAGTACTCGTTCAATGAAACAAGTAGAACCATTTTTATGACTGGCATACGAAATAGTTAACGACAGAATGGGGGTATCCAAGGGTTCCTGAGTCCTTGGCCAATACCACTCTTCTTCTTCTTCTACATCCGTTATACGGACTTTCCACCAACCCGAGTCTGGCCACCAAACCCAAAACCAATCTTTGGGAAGGTTTTCCTGTAACAATATATTTTCTCTCTTGCGCTTTGGTCTTTTATTTTCGGAGCCTCTAACTTTTACCATAAAGATATTGTCGCAGTTCTCGTCAATCTCACAATTGTTCAAAATGAATAATTTCTCATTGGAGGAACAGCAACGAGCCATTCAACAAACCAACGATGACGCTGCCATATCAAAATATTGTGCAGTTTCCAAGTAAGTCGAGGCCAAAATAAGTGAGGTTTTTCATTTTCTAAAAGTTTGAGAATCAAGGGGTTACTATAATGATCCTTTCATTTCTTTGTTTGTTAAAACCAAAGAGAAGAGACAACCGCTTATAAACAGGGGAACCTATGCACGTGTACAGGCTGTGCAATTGTTAGTGGAACGCTTTCTCCATTTGACAAAGCGATATGGAAAGAGACAAGTTATCAATTTAGGTGCAGGTTTTGACACCCTTTTTTTTCGTTTACGAGATAAGGAAGTCATCTGGAAGGGGGACGTCTTTGTGGAATTGGACTTTCCTGAAGTATGATTCCACTGCTCTGACTCCATATAAAGAGTTTCTCATGAAGCGTGTATGTAGGTAACTCAAATGAAACTACGAGTTTTTCGACAACATGCTGCCTTGTATTCACTATTGACCAAAGATACCGATATGAAGTCTTTTCAAGAAACTCAAGATGGGTTGTCCTGTGATATTTACAAGTTAATAGGAGTGGACCTTCAGCAAATAGAAAAATTATCTTATTTATTGGAACAAACTTGTCAATTATCAACTCATGCTCCAACGTTGGTTATATCGGAATGTGTCCTTACTTACATAGAACCTCAAAGTGCCGATCAAATCATTCAATATTTCTCAAAGACGTTTTCTTTTATAAGCTTTATTTTATTCGAATTGGTGAGTATTTTTCAATGTTTTAGTAACTTGTGTGCACTACTGAATGATCTATAGACCTTTCCAACAGATCCCTTTGGTAGACAAATGGTAAAGAATATTGAACAAAGAGGCTTTTCACTGGAGAGTTTATTATCCTATCCATCTTTACGAGCACAGAAAGAGCGTTTTATTCAGTTTGGATATCCAAAAGTGGATATTAAGAGCATGTATACTATTTATGAGGAGTACGTAAGAACTGGTTCGGTTTCATTTACTGCATAAGTACAAAATTCTCCCCTAGTGTCCTTGCAGTCGAAGAGAAACGGAGAATTGAACGTCTTGAGTTGTTGGATGAACTAGAAGAATGGAAACTTTTATTGCAACATTATTTTCTTTTATATTGTTTAAAGTTGGATATGCTACAAGGTTGGTGAAGCATAGTTGAGTAATTTTTTTCTGTTCAACGTGATCTCTTTCTATTCTAGAGAGTGAAGCAGACGAACTATGGAATTCTTTTCGGTTTATTTCTAAACGTTGTGAAGAAGACTACTTGTCATAAAAATATATGGGAAAAAGAATAGATAGAAATATCCATATATATATATATATATATATATATATATATACTTCTTTTGCTCGTGTACTGGGAGATAATAAGCAAAAGAGAAAAGAGCTATCAAAGGCTCCTTTTATCTTATTGCTGGGAATATCTCTAATATTCTCGAGCAGATAAAAAAATATACCTACAAAAGTGAGTCTAAGAACCAATCTGTTTCTTTGACTTTGTCGAATAGGTAAACATACGTTGAATACTCTAACTAGTCGATATCTTTGGACTGCGACCGATCCATTCTATTTGAGTTATTGGCCATATTCTCAGGAATACCCTTCCTACAATCAGTGCTTCTGGTACTGGTCCATATTCTCTGGAGTCTGTAGAGTTGTCGGCATTATCACCTTGTAACCAAATATAACCTCGAGGTACATATTGAGGAGTTCGTTGTCGATATTTCCAAAAACGTGAACTAAAAGGTTTATCTCCCTATCAACAACATATACCGGTTCAATACTCAAAAAAGAAAGAGAGAAAAAAATGTATTGATGGTGACAAAGGCAAGGCATACCACTACTTTTACTCTTTTGCAGATATGAGAATGTGGACTGGAAGGTGACTTGGCAACAACTACATCACCAGGTTGCAAAGTTCCCCAACGTGGAGTAATATGTTCGAAGACAACAATATCACCTTGAGCGTTTAAAGTAGGTTCCATGGAAGGTCCCACACACTATGACAGAAAGTTTGAACTCGTGAAGGTGTTGCAAAGCTTCAACTATTTACCACAGAAGCTTCTACACCATATTTTTGTAATACGTAAAACGAACAACCAAACTTTACTATGAACAAAAGTCTTTCCGAAACACTCTTCATGATGAGAAACCTGACATCTCTTTATCCAAAAAGAGTCATTGGGTCGATCGATAAACAAGAAGCAAAATTTCAAAGCAATTGATATTTGTGTTTTTTATAAGTTGCTTGGATACAACATAACTCTTACTCGTTTGCCAAAACTAGAAGGTGGCAAATTGTTTCGAAACTTGGCACGTACAACTCCGCTGTTACCGTGTGGTCCGATGACCTTCCCCCAAATCACTCGAATCTTTGTTTTCTTTCCTCTGAAGCTTTTTCTCGGTCTTTTTGCTCGATAAACATATGCCACTCTCTTCCCGATATAAAAACTAGTGGACGCTCGATCTTCTACTCCTTGAATCTTGATTCTGGTCTGATTTGGATATTGATTACGCTGTGACCTTTTATAACCCAATACGACTCCTTTACAATAAAGCCTTTAAATTTTTTAGTATTAGCCTCTAACTTTCTTCCTCTCTTACCGTCCTAAAGGTTTTTGGGACATGATATTTAGTGACTGAAAAAGAAAATCGACGACGCCCAATTCTCAAGTAAATAACGAAATAATATGATTGATTGATTGATTGATCGGTTGCGAAGAGGAAGAATGAAGGAACTTCCCAAGAACAAAATACGAAGATCTAAAATAAGACAAGAGACCAAGTTTATGAAGAAGAAACAAAAGAAGAAGGAAAAGGAACAACGAAAAAGGGAAGCAGAAGCCAGAGGAGAGGTATATTGGTTTTGGTTTGCGTTTGTCAAGACTAAGAGTGAAATATGAAGGATTGGAGAAAACCTCCTTTAACCTTGGAGGATAAAAGAGTCCAAATAGTAGGTTTTCAGCCTGAAGACCGTGTTGTTATTGATTACACGTTGTTTGATGAGTTTTCAGACGTATTCTCAGGAGCAGTTATACCGAAAGTTGTTGTCGTGCCTGGTTTAAAAGCCACAAGGATGACTTATAACTTTATTTCAGAGTTACTTCAAATAATACCCAATTCTGTATTTTATGAAAGGAAAAAGTCCTCTTTGAATCAAGCAAGTGTAAAGGCCGCAGAAAAGGGTTTTACCGATGTCATCTTTACAGAAGAAAATAGAAAACAAATAACTGGCCTCTTTCACGTTCATCTTCCTCATGGTCCTTGTGCATATTATAGTATTCGAAGTTATGTTCCTTGTAAAAAAGTGGTTGGTCATGGAAGAAGCACTGCATCCAAGCCTGAAGTTATTTTAAGTCATTTTACAACTCAACTGGGTATTCGTATTGCAAGAATGTTAGGAGCTTTATTTGCTTTGGAACCAGAATATTCTGGTAGACAAGTTGTTACTTTACATAATCAACGGGATTTTATATTTTTTCGATTTCATCGTTATCAGTTTGATGACCGCGGGGTTAAGGTTTCACTTCAGGAACAAGGACCACGTTTTACTCTTCAATTACAACAGTTGACCAAAGGTCTTCCAGGAAATGACGATGCGGAGATAGAATTTCGCAAGAAGAAGAAAGCTAGCAAATATGAGTTTTTCCTCTAAAAATGGTAGAGATAGGCACTATAGAATATGGTTTATCCATCAAGATAAGCAAAAGGATATCTTTTGTCTTTTAAATACTTGCAGATAGTCCATGAGGAGGAATATAACCAGTAATAAGCAATTCTTAGGTTGTTCATACAACAAAGTGAGCAAGTATCTCATTCCATTCTTAACATATTTTAGATATCGTAGACAGTGGAATCCTCCTTTTCATCTTCTCTCGAACGTTTTCGATCAACTTTTGTAGAAGGAATATACACAATACTTCCTAAACAAGAAAACGCATCGAATATAAAAGTGTTAAAGATAGGTTTCTCATTTCTACTTATCAACTTGACAATTTCTCTTCCAAGGACCCCCGCCAAACATGAACTAACTGATATCAACTCTACATTCATAAAGGAACAAAAGTTGTATGATGACTGCAACTCAGATTTTTTTATGTCAATCTTGTGAAGCTGCAAAAACATTTCGAACTGTCTCTGTCTATCTTCTAAACAGTCTTGTGAAGTCATACAGTATTCTTCCTTCCATCTTCTCACAAAAGCAAGAAAACTAAAGTATAATGGATACGGACTTTGTCGTATATTGCTTAACACTTGTTCCAATGTGGGATATTCAAGTGTTCGTTCATTTTCAATGGACATAGAATAGGAATGATTATCAACTTGTGCACTGTCCGAATCACTATCATCTAAAGCAATCACTTCATTTCTGTTGGTAGATCTCAGTCTGGAAGCTCGTTTGCTGCTTTTGTTCAAGTAATGATAGGTGTAGTGAGAACCAAGATCCAATATGAGGAAACCTAAAGCACCTATTACTTCAGCATATACAAATAAGGTATTGTTATCTCTACAAATTCTGTTCAAGGCAAAAGCAACAGGACATCCAATTCTTTCACAGATCAAACAACAAATTTCAAAACTTTTGGTTTCAATGAGTCTTGAGACTATTTGGATATCGTTTTGTTCTTCAACCTTTTCAGAAAAATGCTTCTCCACAAAAGTATTGACTGTCTGAATCTGTGCACGTGGGTTCAAGACACTTAAGGCTTTCACCAGTTCCTCCAAATCGTGACCCAAATAAGTGACAAACTTGGGTTGTCCAGATGTCTCCGTATACTCAGAGTATTTGCCAATCACCAAAGTTCCCACTCCTGTCAACACAAGGTCCTTTGCAAGTTCTTCTAATAGTCCAGAATGATATCCGAATAAAAATACTTTACTTTTCAATATTTTTGACTGTGTTTGTAAACCCCAAAGTCTTATTTGACGATCATAAATAATAGCACTAGATGACATTTTCAATAACAATCTTTCAACATAAACTCGCATTCCATATAAACTTTTGTAGAGTGCTTGGTTGCATTTCATTGCGCTTGTTTTACTTTATCTTTTATTCATATCAAGCTTCACCATAAAAGTATAAGTAACAACTATTTTATGTCTTCACACAAGTATTTGCTGAATTTGGCTCAATATATTACCATCAAAAGAGGAGATATTACGAAGGAACAAGTTGATGCCATAGTCAATGCAGCCAATGAACAGTTAACTGTAGGTGGAGGTGTTTGTGGAGCTATTCATAGAGCTGCAGGTCCAGCATATACAGAAGCTTGTTTGAAGGTTCCCCAAGTGAGGCAAGGCATTCTTTGTCCAACTGGTGAAGCCAGAATAGTCACTGGAGGTCTTTTGCCAGCTTCATTTGTCATTAATACTGTTGGTCCAGTTTATTCTAGTGTTCCTAATCCTGCAGAATTATTGGAATCTTGTTACAGATCAGTTTTGCAGGTTGCCAACGAAAATGGCTTACGTTCTGTGGCGTTTCCAGCGATATCCTGTGGCATATTTGGTTATCCTCTGCGTGAAGCTGCTCAAGTAGCTTTAACTTCCTGTAAGAAATATCGTGGAAACTTACAAGATATACGTTTTGTGTTGTTCGGTTCGGATGTTTTCGATGCTTGGACGACTTGTGCCATATCACTTGGTTTGAGAAGAACAGAATAATAAAAGGGTAGTTTAAAACAGAAAATATACTCTCAAGTCCAAGTTATTGGAAGGTGTTGAAGGCATATTCAGTTATCCAATAAAACATATGAATGTCAGATCATTCGAAGAGCGTATTTTTGAATAGAATGGCTGATCCTGTCAAGTTGCAGTCAACTGCCGTATCACAGACTTTTGTTTTGTTTCTCTTATTTGATATTGGACTGAACTTAGATAGTGGAGTCATTCCGGTTTACCTTTATGCAATCAGTGACCAGTTCAAACTCTCGAGGTGCTATTTGTAGTTTCCAAACATTTTCTCTTCTTGAAAACGCTGTCTTTTATAGATTGAGTCAAGGTGTATTGGGCTCTCTTTCACCTGCAGGTTTTGCAATATCTACCATTGTGTGCAGCTATGTATTGCGACACTATTCACCCAAAGCTATTTTGATAGTATGGTTTGTAAGGATTCTTTGTTTTGACTTGACGAGGTCATATTATGTATGATATAGTTTATTTATGGCTGTCGTTGCAAACTTGACTTTTGCCCTTTCAACTCACTGGTTTCTATTTTATTTTTCTCGTTTTCTCTTTGGGGCATTCGTAGCAGCATTCTTTATATATATGCCAGTATGGACTGATGAGTACGTTGATATTGAGAATAGAAAGAAAACTCTAGTATCGATTGAGAGTGCTTATGTAGATTTGCACCTTCAAGGTTCCGCACAAGATGGATTGGACTTGTTCAAGCTTGTGCACCTCTCGGAGTAATATTGGGTTTTATTTTTTCTGGGTATGTCGATGACTTGTGAATATTTGTGTGTGCTTACATAGATTAACCTGTATCTCTAGGCTACTTATTGATTATCAACTTTCATGGAGACTGGCGTTTATCTTTCAGAGTAGTTTTATGCTGTTATGTGTTATTGGTTTATGCTTTTGTCCTCGTTGCTTTATAGATGTTGAGGAGAACAGAGTTTATCCTTCTGTAGTTCCCAAGACTCCTGATTGTAATCGTCTCTGGTCATCTACGAGGTTAAGATGGCAGGCGGGTAAGTCAGTGGAGCAAGAAAGTGTCCATTGTTATGAAGCACTTGTTTTCGACATTACAGATACTGAGTCTCAATACATCTCCTTTGTTGACTCCAAAGATGCAACTAGGAATCATTCTAGACGTCTTTTATATGATTGTCAAGATAATGCTGTTTCGCCAGGGTTTCTAGGAAATGGACGAGTTGCTGAAGAAACTAGTGGTCTTCTTGAAAATGCAAGTGATTCTTCTTCAAATGACGAAAACAATTTTTCCAATAGAGGGTTATTTGGTTTTGCTGCAGTTTCTTCCAATAACTTTGCACAGGTAGGCTTGAGTATTGGAATTTGTCTATTTTTTTTTGGCCTGATTCATTTATCGAATTTTTATAGGGTTTATATGCTTTTGAACAGCCATTGAACCATGCTGCTACAGGACTTTATTATTTTGGGAAGGAGCTCAGTGTTCTTGTTTCAAATAAGCTCTGGATATGCTGTTGTCTAACTCTGGCTTTTCTATTTTTTACTATTGAAGGCATTCGTTATTGGGTTGTTATTTATAGGTATCTAGACTGCTTTTGCTCATTTTGCTTCATTGAAGGGTATGATAGACAAGAGGTTTACTTTGATATTCTTTCCAGCATTGTATTTGTCTTTGTCATTGTTTCTGTGACGGTAATATAGTCTATTTGCCTATTAACTTGCTTCTTATGAAGAATTATTAGGCTCCTATCATTGGAGTTCTTATTGGAGGTCATTTGATTGATAGTCTAGGTGGTTATAAGCAACCTGAGGCTCTTTCGCGTTCGTTAAGAGTCATATGTGTATTTGGCTTTCTGGCATTTATTCCTGCATGGTTTTGTGTATTGAAGAGTCCTTCCAATTTATTATTCTTTGGTATTTCCATATGGCTCATTATATTCTTTGGAGCAGCAATGGTTGCTCCACTTACCGGTATTATGGTAGGGATGAATGAATATCTATCTACTTGAGGCAATTTATTCTGTTAATATAGGTATCGGCTGTTGCGTATGAACATCGTTCAGTAAGCTCAGCGATGAGTTTGTTGATCAATCACATTTTTGGTTACTTTGCAGCTCCTCTAGTCACAGGTTGTATATCTCAATTCTATGGTATAAGTGAGTTGAAGACTGTTTATCTTGCATTTCCAACACTACCATTTTCTAGGAATTGGATTTCCATGCATTTTATTGTTGGGTTCATTTTCTTTGCTATTTGTCATATTTGGAATGATTGACAACAATAGACATTTGCAAACTTTTCAATGCCAAGAGAACTCATTGAATTAGCTTCGTCATAGCTTTGATGGCTCCTTAAATGGTTGTCTTATCATGTATAGTTAGCTACACATATCCATTCCACAAGATGTTACAAGATAGAAAGGGAATATTTCCAACATGTGATTATACAAATACTCTTTTTCCTTTGGTGCAGACTGGTAACATTTTTTATTCGAGTTGTATAACAATATTGAAGATCCTCCCATGTTAGTGTTCTTGAAATGGAAAAACTGTAATAAAAGACCTAGGCAGTCGATACGATTACAAACACAATTTCAGTGACAAGACCCAACTTTCATAAATGGCCTTTATTAGGATCCACTCAAGCTACTTTTAAATAATCAAAGAAATTTTCTCCTATCTTAGCCCTCAACTCCTCTCCTGCTTCTTTTCCGATTTCCACATTGTTTACCAATTCTCCTGCTTTAAAAGTTTCTACCAAGGAAGATCCATCAGGATATGCCACAAGTCCTCGAAAATGTAGTTTGTTGTCTTTCGTAATCCATGCCTGACCAGCTATTGGTGTACGACAGGAGCCATCTAAAGCAGAAAGAAAACTTCGCTCACATTCTACACAAATTCTGGAGTTGGCATCATCCAACTGAGATATCCAGCGATATGAGAAATGATCATTCTCACGTATAGTGACTCCAATGGCTCCTTGAGCAACTGCTGGAAGCATTTCTTCAAAAGACAAAACATGAGCAAAAGAAAATTCTAGTCCCAGTCTATGCATTCCAGCCAAAGCCAATAAAGTTGCATCCACTTGACGTTGCTCCAACTTTTTTAAGCGTGTCTGCAGATTCCCTCTAAAGTTGAGTACCTGCAGGTGTGGATATTTTGCCAAAATTTGAGCTTGTCTTCGTAAGGAAGACGAACCAACCACAGCCCCGTTGGGTAAAGCCGACAAATCTTTCGAATGATAAGAAAGAAATACGTCTCTAGTATCTTCACGAGGTAATACAGCTCCCAATACTATTCCAGTAGGAAGCCAAGTTGGAACATCTTTCAAAGAATGGACAGCAATATCAATTTCTCCTCGCAGTTGAGCCATATCGATTTCCTTGGTAAAGAGACCCTTTCCACCAATATCAGCCAAAGATCTATCCAGTACTTGATCACCTGTAGTATGGATTATCTTGATTTCAACTTGCAATGGTATATCTTGAGATGCAGCTAGCTTTTCAAGACTTTGCCTCACTTGATTAGCTTGCGCCAGTGCCAAAGGAGAACCACGCGTTCCCAGTACCAAGTGGTTCTTATCACCCGAGTGGTTGTTTAAACATATCGTTTGGAATCTTTTATATTCGTATACACTTTTTCCCACTTGTTTCTTCGGAATCTGTTGCCAAAGTCGAAAGTGACAACCAACACAAAAAATGTTTCTCTCTTTCAAGAAGAAGAAGCGAGAAGAATATGAGCGAGTATTCACAGGTAAAGAAGGAGCAAATAAAAGCATCGTAACTTTTTCTCGTTGGAATAACGCGCACAGTGTCACAATGTTCAACTAAGTAGATCTAATTTTGTTTCTTTACAAACATTGATATGATGATTTTTAATCTTCACCAAAGAAACAAGAAGAATGAAAAGGATTTATTCCAAAGCACAGATGAAACTGCAGATAATGGAAAACTATTTTCACTCACAAAAGGACAGAAGTATATGACTACTTTGTCCGTTCTATGGCACTCTTATATCTAAAGTTAGTACGAAATGAAATCTATACAAAGTAGTATTTTTCAGAGTAGTTTAGGAAGAATGTATTGAATAACTCTTAGTAGTAACCGAAGCAACTTGCTTTCTAACTGAAAGTGAAACTTTATGTTTGTAAAAGAGATATTCTTATGTTGAACAGACAAGTGAATATGAGTTGCCAAAGAAGTTATAAACAACTTTAAAGATGGCCATAAACATCAATCAACAAAAAGTATTCCGAATACCACAGAGTCATCTTCCAATTGATAGCCGAAAAGTTATCCCTTTATTGATTTTTCTTTTCAGATGCACGACGAGAGAAAACGTTTGAAAATATTGAAAAATTACCAGCTTTTCCAGACTTGTCTGAAGTTGGTGGACTTGGTGTAGCTGCAGACCCAGTTGAAGGATTATTCATTCCCGACTTGCCTTGAGAATCCATAATTTCATCATATGAAGGTGGAGGAGGCAAATCACTAGGCTGTCCAGAAGGATCCTGCATGCCGTTATTTGAGTTTACATTCTTATTGTTAGGATTCATATTCGTTCCTCCATTCATTCGACGAGTTTCCATTTCACTTGGGAAAAAAGAGGTTTCTACATAATAATTGGCTTGTACATCATTCATCTGGGAACGAATCTGTTGAATCTCGGTATCGTAGGACTTGATTTGATCCTGTAGAACTTTCTTCTCACTACGCAAACGTGTCAACTTTTCTTGGATTTCTTGAATCTTTCGCTTTGTTTTATCCGTTTCAAGTTTGGCATCTGAAAGATGTGAGCGTAATGCTTCAACATCATAATTCATTGGATTGTCTTTTGAACTTGTCTGTTGAGCAGGTGCATTAAGCTCTAATGCCAAACTATAAGGAAGTTCTGAAGGAAGTTGTTCCCCATTACTTGCTAATAAAAATAAATGTGCTGCAACACGAAATTCAAACTTATCCAATTTTTCATCAGCAGAGATATCTGAGAGCTTCAAAATGCGCTGAATCAAATGATCTGCCAGACCAGATTGTGAGAAGTAGTCATTTGCTTGCGAAAAAGAGATATAGCTGCTATGAGCCCAGTCCAACTCTGCAAAAGTCTGATCATAATAAGCTTTCTGTTCCTCTGTAATTTTATAAGAGGATTCATCTTTCTTCATATTGTTGGCTGTCTGAGGACTAGTTCGTTGAGAAGTATTTTTTTCTGAAAAGCTTTCTCCTGTGCCTGTTTCCCACTTAAAGTCTGGAATCAGCTGCATACCCGCAAATCTCTGAAGACTATATACAGAAGGATCTGAACCTCTTTGAGCAATGGCTATTAGTCTTAAAGCTATAAAAAAGTCCTGTCTGTCTAGTTCTCCTTGATGGTTCACATCGGCAATAGACCATATCCTCTTCAAAGTCGGGCGTTGCACACCAACAGCGTGTTCAAAAAAGTCTTTTGCAGGTTTTCCTTTCAAAGTTGGTGCTCCTTTTGACGCCTTTTTCCATAGTTCTTCATATCGCGACTCCTCAAAAGCACTAAGCTTCACGAATTGAACGAGTCCTGTTGAGCGTTTTCAGAAACCAAAAGAAACTTGGAAGGAAACAAAACATACGTTGTTTCTCAGTTTGCTGTATTTTCTGAGTATCTTCACTATTAAAACCTTCAAAAGTCAAAGCTGGTGCAGGATTTACTTGCTGTTGTGGTACATAGTTTGGCAACTGTGTGGGATAAAATGATGGCCTGGTTGGTTGATAGCCATAAAAAGGAGTTCCAGGAGGAGGCGGAGGAGCTGCTGATGGTACGGGAGGATAACCATAGCTTTGATTATAAGGATATCCACCATAAGCCGAGTTATAATAAGGATACGGTTGACCCCACCCACCTGAATAAGTAGGATACATTTATCCAATATGAAATGATTGAATGATGAGTACTTGGAAGCGGATTCCTGGACGTCTTGTTATTGAAAAAGAGATAGAGGACCCTCGATGGTAGAGTTTAGTTTAATATTAACCAGGCTATATCTAGTGACATGTATGTTAGGTACATCAACACACCTAGTTACGAAGGAAACCCCACAGATGCTTGGAGTACGTGATTTGGTTCGACAACCAGCATAGTCGTGAGCTTAACGGGCTTTTTAGAACAGTTGGATTTGAAAAAAGCCGCCAAAGAATTGTTAGAAGACGCTGTCGTAAAATACCATAAGAAATCTCGGTTTCAAAGGAGCGGGCTTCCTAAGGAGTTTTTGGAATCTGCGCAAAGGTCAGGAACTTTAAGAGACCAAGTAAGGCTGTTTTTTTTCAGAAAACTTTTCCTTGAAAGGTTGAAAATTTTTTTTCTTTATGGAAATGACTAGATTGGAGCTCTAGTAACGATAGTAGAAGAAGCGCCACTTTACAAGTTAAAAGGGTTGACCAGCTTAATAGACCAACTTGAAAAGAAGGTATTTCAGAGTTGCACTCTATTTTTACAACCATATTCTCATCAAAGTTCTAGTCTAAACGTGTGATGTTATTGATATTCCCAGCTTTGAAAGATTTGTTCATAAACATACTATTACCGGACAGATATCTCGTTCACTTTTCGCAACGAAATTTTCACTTTGATACGCTTACAAAACGGCATCTTATTTTTGCTATATTTGAATCTGTAAGTTTAAGCGCAAGTTTATGTCTTTTCCAAGTTCTCATCTCTCTGCTATAGCATTTAAAAGAACTCTATCAACGTTACTTGTTGTGTTTGGAAGAACTGTCACAGGATCCTTTGGAATACCCACGAAATATGGCAGTAAGCCTACTTTTTTATTTATTGGAGAAAGAAAACTAACAGTATTTTACTAGTTAAAGCTTGCAAGGGAGCTGATTGAAAGAAAACCAGAAGGAGAGCGTTTTCTTCTTGCTTTGATAATCAACAAAATGGGTGATCCTAGTAAAAATATTGCTTCCAAAAGTGGTTATTTTTTGCATCAGATATTGTTTCGACATCCACATATGAAGAGTTTTATCGCAAGGTAGGTTCAATATTTATCGGATTGGTTTTCAACTCACTATTTTACAAATTTGCATAGGGAAGTTATGCAATTTTGTGTTCGACCCAATCTTCCACTTCGTGCCAAACAATATGCATTGAACTTTTTATCTTTACTGCATTTCACTAGCAAGTAAGAGAAACACATCAGATTTATGGAGAATACTGAGTCTTGTTTCTAGAGAAGATCCCAATTTTCTTCAAAGCTTGTTGACATTTTATCTTTCGGAGTTTCATGAGTTTGTCCGAGAAAAATGGAAGCAGGATAAAAGTGCATCTACAGACAACTACAGCAAACCGATATCATATATTTTGCAAGGTAAAACGACCTGAAGACCTGACGACATGAGTATTGTATGGTTGAAGCTGTTTGTTTAGGTATAAAACGATGTATATTTTTTTTGGAGGAAGAAGAATTGAATGATAAATTGAAGACGGAATTAAGCTCGATTTTTCAAGTAAGTACTTTTTATTTAATTTGTTGTTTTCCTCTCACGTTTCTTTTTTCCAATGGAAACAGATAGCAAAGTCTGACACTGATAGCGATTGGCTTGTAGCAGTGGAGCTTCTTTTTATGTTGAGAAAGGTATTTCTTAATGAATGAAGGGACCATTTCCAATCTGTATTTATTCCTTGTAAGGTCGATGTCAAAGGTTTTGAGGGCTGTGGAAAAGTTTTGTATCAAAGAATATTCGATTCGTTGCATTTGAGTGTCCAGAAACAGGAGCGTTTCCTCAAAATAATTTCCGAGTCTTTGAAATCTGACAATGTGGTTAGCGACTAGTTATTTTTGTATTCTCAATATTTTTCATTTCTTCAAAGGTTGACCGTGTTTGTGCAATGACTAAACGATTATTTCAAGCTGCCTTGGAGAGTAATGCTTGTTTTGCTGCAGCATGCTTGCTTTCTGTCTATCAAGATAATAGTCTATCAGAACTTAAAGGAATATTATCTTCCTTTGTACGTTTTCCAGAGCAAGGCACGATATCTTTGTATCGTTGTTGCCCCCTTACTGATTCTTCCTTTTTTTTTAGGAAGAGAAGACGATTCAAAGAACAAGTCTATAGAGTACAATGGATATGTCATGAATCCTCTGAAAGCAAATGCCGCTATGTCCTGTTTCTGGGAACTTGACTTGTTAAGTCATCATTTTCACCCAACTGTGTCTATTTTTGCTTCCAAAGTGCTGGATGTATGTGAAACACCAGCCTATTCGGGGAATGCTTTGAAAGACTTTTCTCTTCATTCTTTCTTGGAAAGATTCAGCCAACGGAAACCCAAAGCAGGAGTGGTTTGTTATTCAAAATGTATTTTAGGAATGCTATGTTGAATTGCACGATTTTTCCGTAAATAGGTTGAAAGTTTAAAGGGTAGCAGTATCCTTGGTTCATCACAAATATTGGATCGGAACAATGTGGATGAGGTAGTTTTATGGTCCTTTTCTTTTTGTTTTCTAAGCTGCTCTTTTCTCTCCTTCAACTATAGTTTGTCGAAGACCAAGTCACATTGGCAACTCTTGTATCCGAAATGGGAGACAGAAAACTTGATAGAGCTTCAAAGCGGAAGCGTAGAATGATGAAACAAGAAGAGAGAGATGATGATGATGATGATGATGACCTGGATGAAGAGTTTGAACAGGAAGTTCGGCGCAAATTTGGAAATTCTTTAGACATGGATGACATGAGTATTGAGGAAATTGTACGTTTTCTCTTCAATATGATATGAATTGTTTAATATTATCATGCATAGGATGAAGAAGAAGAAAAAGAAGAAGAAGAAGAAGAAGATGATGATGTTATTGTGAAAGAGGTGCATTCTCTGATGAAGGAACCTATAGATGACTTGTTTGATTCTTCATTGGAAAGATACCCAGAAAATAGAAAAAATTACAAGAAACAGAAAAGACATAGCGTATTTGCACCAGCTGAAGAATATGAAGTTGAAATCCCTTGACGATAGAATGTTTTCCATTTCTCCCCATTATGGAAAATGGTGGAGCAATGAGCAGTCTTCAACGAGAAATAACGTGTAGTTACGCCTTTGCAAAAGAACTAGTTTGCAGTCTCCAAGCTCACAATACAAGTCTATTTTGTCCATACTCAGTTTCTACGTTTGAACCGTGTAATCAACCTTGCTTTGTAATCGGTAAACAATCTCTGTACCCAACTTGACACTATTCAACTGGTTCCAACTTTCAGCACAGTCTGAATACGAAAAGAAAGAATTCAACACTCTTTGTATATATTGTCCAATAGGTTTGAATGCAAGGTAAGCTAACTTTATTTCCCCTAGTTTCAAAATATTAGAGTATTCTGTTCTGTAGTAGTAGTAGAAGAGTGTTGTTGGTGACGAGAGATACCATCACTATTCTCCTCTTGTATTACATAAACCAATGACTGCAAATATTTTTTACTTTTTGCAGTGTCAGTTTTCTATAGTGATATGTCTAAGAGAAGTTGTTCTCTGAAAGTTCAGTTTTTATATGAGAAGTAGCATTTTGTGAGAATGTTTCCCGTAGTAGTGACGACAAGGGGAATAGTTTAAGAAACACTTATAGTCAAAGAAAAATCTTCGTTTTCAACTGAATAAGAACATTCTATTTTTTAGTGTTCACGATAGAATGTTGTCTTTTTATTTATTATGTGACTAAAAGTATCGTTGTTCAGATCAAGAAATTATTTTGGATCACGACTGAGGCATCTTCCATGATTCACACACTTGTGTATCTTGAATAGTGGAAAGGTATGAAAAGACTGATAAAGCTATCAGTCAAACCGTTTTCTAAAAAATACATTAGCATTTCAATCATTCTTCTTTCGAGTGTGGTACAAATTTAAACTCGAATAGATTCTTACAATTTGGATATCAACAGGATGCTGTATGGGAATTGGATAAGGCAACTTTTTATAATTCACTGTTTCTCTTTCTTTTTAAGAAACTCATCTATGTCACGAAGAATCAAATTGATTTCTCGTGGTGCAATATCATGAAGAAATAAAAAGATATTGGGCTAGCTTAAAGCTCAATGAACGAAGCTTCGTAAAGCCACAATATTCTCTTAAGAAAATACTCCCGTGCAAACAATTTGATGCAGTAACATTTCCTTCACTTCTCGTATTTTCCACTTGCGTAACATTTCAGCTTATAATTGGATCAGCTATTTGCACTGATGGATTATTCCCTACAGACACAGATTGGATGGAACCCGACTGAACAGGTCTATCATTGCATTTTCCAACAAACTCAAAAGTGTGTTTTGAATTGGTCTGAGCAAAATGACTGTCTGAAAAAAATTATCAAGACCTTCATTAACCTTGTAACCAAAGAAGGCTTTAAGAGATATGGTCGAACATACTACAACTTGACAATGAGGAGGTATTTATAGACAATTTTTTCTCTCTTATCCAATATCAATTGTGACGCAACTGAGTGTAAAAATTTAGCAATTTCTGCCTTAATCATAGAAAGTTCAATACCAGGACTTGAAAACCATTTTAATGCTACGCCAGTCGAATGGATCATCTTTCTGGTCAGGATATCACTTTCAGTGGTTTCCATTTCCATGGCTGTTTGGTCTGCAGAATATTCACCTTGTCCAAGAAGAATGCGTTTTCACTAGTTTGCGTAACTCGAATGAGAACATCAGGTTCAGTGGAGTTTTGTCTCGTGAAAATAAATATTCCATCATTTGATAGATGAGTTTCAAAGAATGTTTCCAAGCATTCATATGATAAGGTTTTTTTGCCAGCACTATGAATACCAACCATTATGGAACTCAATACTGGAACAAATTTGGGAATGGAAACAGAACGACCATCAAACACAAAGAACAAGACCAAGTATAATTTTAAACTTGAAATGGTTGATATAAAGAGATTAATGAGTCAAAACCAACTACAAATGAAAAAAATAGGAGGAATATTCCGACATTCAGTTTTGATATACTTCAAAGCAAGCTTTGGAATGACCAATTTGACAAATGTTTCTTTGTTTGGTTCAGACCTTTTTCGAACCTGTTCACCTTGTTAGACTATCCAACAGAGTCCCTCCAGTCTATGATGAGTGCCACTTCAATTCTCACAAAGGTTTTTAGTTTGAGCTGTAAAGTGAAGGCTTTTTATTCGAGCTTCTTTTAGAACATCTTTCAAGCTCTGCATGGTTTCTGTTGTAGTGGTGTCACGGTTCATCATAGACACTTGGCTTTATAGTCTTTGTCCAAAGTTGTATACTCTATACAGCAACTCTTCTTAAACTCTGGAGTTCTATGGAGATTTGCTATTTGTATTGTCGAAAAGAGAGTCGAGGTAGAAGGGTTCCAAGCAACCTTTAAGTTGGTGACCCGTCTAGGTATCTCCTAATTCAGTTTAATTTTATCCAATATTATTTCAGAGTATTTTAACTTTCAAGGCTTCAGTACAGAACCTTGTCCTGTAGGTACTGGTTGAGATCCAGTTTTTGTGGTTCAAGGTAATTTGTAGGAAATTAGCTAGATTCTGAGTTGGCTCTTATGTTTATTCTCTTTCCATAGTTTTCTTTATTGTTGCGTCTTTTAGGCTATTCATGTTGTTACATATCCAATATACTCTCTTTAACAAGTTGAATTGGCGTTTTTTTAGGCTTTGACTCACAAAGAGGACAAACTCGGTTCACCTCACATATTCAAAGGTTCCTCTTTTGTTGTCAAAACTGACTATTTTCTATGATTCCAAACCAAACTATTGAATTCTTCTATTGTTTAAAAAATGTCATATTTCCCGACGCAATGAAACTTGTCGAAAATTATTTAAACCTAGAAGCAAAGATCTCCAATTTCTTTGGTTTTCGTATTGCATAAATGGCAAGGAGAGACAATACTATTATTGTATGGTAAATATGTGTACGAGTAATGTCCAATTACCAATTGGGAGAGTATTCTTAGTTGTACAACTATTGTTCCGACTGAATTTTTTTCTGAAAAGTTTGCCAAAGTTATCTTAGAAGTAGCAATTGGGGAACATAATCTGCTAGTTGAAAGAAAAGTTGCTCCATACTTTCTTCTTCCTTCTTTTTTTGATCATAGGAACGAAATAAAGTTGATTTATTTGCTATAACAGTTACAAAAGAGTGTAAAAAAAGCAATTTCTCGTTGAACACAGTAGTTGAATTACTGTATACCATTTACTTTATTTACACAAGTCAACTCTTCAGATCGCCACACCCTAAAATATTCTAGACTCTTTGGTTACAGTCAAACTATTTGTACCGCAAAGGTTGCTTGGTTTTTCAAATATTATTGATCTCTTACATTTTGGACGATTCAATGGACTACAATCCATGTACAAGGAACGAGAAAGAATATCAAAAGAGTCGTTGGCAAAAGTTTCATAGAGGTACAAAAACGACTCGAAAGTTATCAGCAAACAATTTATCTAGTCCAATTCCACCTCTTCCTGAGAGCAAACTCAATTATAGTGAACTTGCTACTATTGTTCTTTTTACAAGATGATGAACTTGAGCAAAAACGGCAGTAGCTTGATCTATTGAAGAAGAGTGTTTTGATACACAATGACGCTTTGAAATGATCAATACAAGCAAAGAAATTTTATAGCAGACAAAAGGTTGTACTCGAGATATTAATAGAACAGAAAAAAAGGATTCACAAGTCATTGATCAACTCGTGAGTTTGTAGTACTACATTATCCACATACACTAGTAGTGGTTTAGACAATTCTAAAGACATTCCTGGATATAAAGCCGTGAACAAGAAAAGCATATCTACAAAACTGCGACCACAAGAAACCACGAGGAAAGATGATCTTGCTATTTCCTTTGAACAACGTTTTCTTCTATTGAGAAAGACCAGTTGAGTTTTGTGTGTGAGTTGTTCGATTTTGACTTGAGAATCTTTCCAGTCTGTTTGAAAACCCTTGTTTAATATCAAGTCAGTGTTTCTGATCACTCTCATTGACTCAACAGACGTATGTGTTGTCTCCTAGACACTTGAAAACCTCTCCAACTTTGTGAGTTTTGTTCCACAAACTTGAAGAAAAGAGTGGATTCTGTTACCCTTTGAAGGATTTTCGACGCGATGGCTAACAGAAAGAATTGTAAAATGAATCTAGGACGTGGAAACTGCACTACTATTGGTTCCAAGCCTTGACTTGTTGGGTAGTTGACTGCAAAATACTTGAATTGTATTTTCTAGTGTTGGCGATTTTATCTTGTCTGAAATTGTCATATTCTTTTCCTAGAGTGATAAAGAAAGTCAAGGTAGATAGAACTGCCACCTATGTAAAGTAGGGAATAAAAGGTTTTAAAGTGTCAAACAGACACAACTGGCAAGTTGACAAGCAGAAAATCCAATGCTATAATTAATAGTCAAAACACACAAGACATTTTCTCTGAATGGTGGATGTCATTTATAGTCTATCTATATGAACTTTTTTTTATATGGGAAAATATTTCTCATGTTGTGGTTTAATATTACAAATGTCATTCAAATATTGATGGGGTTCCTTTTTGGTTGTGTTGCTTGAAGAAAAAATCTGAAAGTGGCTGAGAAAGCTTTTTGGACGAGTTGTTTCAGTTGTTGTCCAGTCTGTAACAGAGTCTTGGTTTTTGTGACACAAGTACCAGACTTTTATTTACGTGGTTGAAAGTGACACCATCTAAAAGGGAGAAACTTTCCATCTTGTACCAAAGTTTAAGCAGTTGGAGATCAAAGTGAAAAAGAAAACGGCTCTTCCAATTTTACCTTTTATTGCAAAAGCAATACGATCTTTCAAGTTTGCTCTTTCAACTATTTTTGTAAAAAGACTTGAGAATTTTTATAACAAGTTGGTTTGATTGATTGGTTACTCGCAGTAGTTGGAATTCCGAAGGGAAGTGTAACAAGTCATTTGTCACGTTGTGTGTATATCTATGTATCCTGTTCATCACTAGGAAAGAAATAGGAACGCTTTTTGTGGAAACATGATGAGTTTCTAAGGAGAGCACGAGTATCTATACTAGGTTTTCTATTCCAGGAACCAAGTTGGTATGTCTTTATAGAGTTGTTTGTACATGGTTAGGTAACTAGTTGAGTATTTCTTTTTACTCGAAAGAAATAAAAGGGTGTAACTACTTTTGTATAGTCAACTGCAAACTGTTGTTAACGATAATTCTGTCAATTTCAAACTTGAGACTATATTTTCGAAAACGCTCAATCACTGCAAATAATACCCAACTATGACTGCTGCTTCCAACTCAGTAGAGTCTTTCTTTTTTGGAGTTGTTTCAAAACAAAGTGATGTATGCTTACACAACGACTCTTCATCCATTTTTTGTTGAATGAGAAAACTACAAACTAGGGAATGGTGCTAGAAGATTGACTTGATATTTTTCCCATACAACTTGAGAAAGTTTGATGGTTGTAACTTTTTCAGCAACGTACTAAAGCAACCATGTTGGGACCAAGGTTCAAAGAATAATCATCCAATCATTTGAAATGTTGAGGACACCATGTAGAGTTTGAAATTTTTGTTGTACTTTTGTGTCAAAGGACAAGTTATTCAAGTAGCAACTCAACTTTTAGGTTACATTTTT